GGCCCAAAAATGAACCGATACTACCTCGAACGAAGTTCAAAATCCGTTTTCTGAGCAATATCGTCCCCTTCCCATCATAAAAATTCTAGATTCGTCGCTAGTCCTCATATATCGAATTGGTGTCTACGATCAGCATTTTTCACTACACACATGCAGCTAAAATCTCAAGCCGAAAATTTGAAACTTCGGTGAACTTTAGGGAATCGAGACTTTTGGGCAGCACTTCAGGATGAATACAAATAATCGAAAAAAGAACATATCATATCTGCGGATCGACTATTAGATCCGGATTAGTACATTTTATGATGAGTATTAAGAGTACGATTTGAGTCCGGATCCGAAAACTTTGAATCCGATAGACTCTGCACTACAGCAGACTTTTATGGGGAAGCCATAATCTGTTATTTTTCCAAATACCAAGATTCGATTAACAGACAACATCGTCTTGTATGTGCCTATATAATGAATCTCAAATAAAATTATAGATTTAGTAGCTGAAATTCAAAATATTAAATTTTTTTTTTCTATGTAGAATAAAAAATTGATACCATCAATCTTATTTGTTTATTTAAGTCCACAAACTGAATTTACTCAGTTTTTTAACAACTTTTCGAAAATCGTTTTAACTCTTTATTTTTTTTTACTGAGGTGCGTAGTCGATAAAATAATTCCAGAGACTTACTTCATCATAGCTTTCAAAAATGAGCACATCATGTAAGTTTAGAATATAGCATTTTTATATTACGTTCGTAGATAGAAATTTGTATTTGTTTTCATCGATCGATTCATTCTCTGCATGGTAATATAAAGTAAAACATTGCATCGCTTATCTTCTTGCCGTGGGAACAGAATTGATGCTGTCTTAGGTATTGAATCACCTACAAATCTAGATTTAATATAGTGCTTTTACTGAGTAATTGGATGGGAAGAGAATGTTGCGGAAGCACAGAACATAGCAAACTATGTCACGTTATCGTCATCATAGGAAGAAGAAAAAGGACATGGTCGAAAAAAAAGAGGAAGTAATCTCATATATATAAATCTACGCTTCACTACAAACTCCCAAGTGTATGATTCCACTGTTGACAACTAATATTATTCTGAGAGTTTTGAAATTTTCTCACCCATTATTTTTACAAGTAGGTGGCTCAAATTATTTTTGACAAGGTAATTCATTACAGTTAATTTATTGATTTCAATAGTGTAAAAGAAAACCTTACTTTAAAGTTCTTTCTTACTAGAATACATACAGTCTTGTTATTGAATAAACCATGCATCGATCCACTATCACTCGTCTCTTCTCCATCATTCTTGTTCTTGGCTTGATAATCAATATGTGTGAGTCTACATGGTCGGATTGTCTTAGTAACGAGAAACCATGCTGGAAAGAACGCGGAAAACAGAATCAATCAGTTATGAAACCGACGGCACTGGCACATAAAAAATGCAATCAACGTTGCTTGGAATTATCCCAGTCGACGGATTACTATTCATCTGGGTTTTGTGCATCAGAAGGCATATGTAAAGGATATTGTGAATGTATGGATAAGCAGAATTAAACTGTCAATCGTACTGTCAATCTACCACACAAATCATTTCCGATTTACACTCTGAAGTATCTTTCTCACTAGCTTTTTGTAATTTTTGATGTTATCCAAGATTGATTGAAAGAAACATGTCGATTTCTTCATAAAATTTCTCTTATTTCAAACTGGTATTGTATATTGGAATTAAATCTATCTACCACCATTCCTGTTTCCTACATCGTATCTTTATCGAAACCCTTATGCTGATCTCGTAGAGCGTAAAACTCTGAATCAGTCTTCAAACCAACCGAAGAACTTCACAAAGTAATATGTATGAATGCTACCACTGAAGATCGTATAGATATTCATCATATAATCATATTTCAAAAAGTATTCTACTCATTCTTCACGTTTTTTACGATTATTAATAAAAGTTCTTCGTGTGACTGTACTTCGCCTAGCTTTTTCCAACTTGAAAATATACGTATAACTTTTTAAGATGAAATTTAGTTTCTTTTGAGCTCAAATCATAGCAACTCAAATTATTGCACGAAAATTACTTTCATGTGTTTGATTGTTTGTCGTCGAAATGAGTCTGTAGAAGATATGTCTATAATCCATCGTCATCGATGATTCGCTCTTGTGGAGCGTAGCCGTGGGTGTGAGTTTGAGTGAAAAGAAAATATACACCTCAGATCCATACCAATAAAAATAGGTATTTATGGTCTCTACGAACTAAATTTCCTTGTATAAATATGAATTTTTTTCTTGTATGTAATAAATCATGTTGCGTTCTTTACCTTGAGTGTTTTACTGTTATTATATGCAGCCTTCTCAATGTAATGTGTACTTGAAATTAATTCAAGAAGAAAAACGAAAAAAGGAGGCATAAATAGATCGAAATGAAGCATGAAATATTGCCATGTTCGAAAAGTAACAAACGAATCATTCGATAAAAAACAGACTCATCTGACATACGCAATACTGAGGGAAGTTGGAATCAATCATCACTGAAATTTACTCGGTATAGTTGGTTTTACTTACTTCATTGTGATGAGTAACTTATTAGGACGATTTTTAAGACTCGAAAGAGTATTTTAAACGTCATAAATAGAGCTAATATATGATCGAAATATTGATTAGAAAGGATTTCGATAAATATGAAATTGATATCTATGACCGACTTCTGTCCATCAAATCGATTGATCATTGTTTGTTGATCAGCGGCTTAGTAAATTTGCCTGGTTGCATCCATTGCATACTAGCTCAATAGTTTTATGCGTTTTATTTGGTAATATTCATTTTCACTGATTCAATACCGTCGAATCAATTCATTATAAAGAATGAATCTGGATCAGATATAAGGATGTGGGTGTAGGGTGTGGATGTTGGTATGTCTGTTTTCTTTGTCCACACTCACACTCATATAGTCTCGTATTGATTGTGAAGGTGCAAAGCGGCGGTTAACTAGAAAAATTTGACTCAATTCAAAAAAGGCTGCATTTATTTATGATGCTAGATTATTCTTTTTAACGAATTTGCTTTTGATCGCATCTTTCTTGTGGACCTATATTTGAGCTAGAATGTGTCGCAATAGACATACATGATCGGTTTCACGAATATTTTTGATGATTCGATGAATAATTTATAAGTAGATATAATTAAATATTTGTCTAAAAAAAGATGAGAGTAGACTATGAGAGAGAGAAGATCATATTAAACGATCGAGCTCACGTAAAAAATCAAATTAAAATGGGCACTATTTGATTCTGATTGAAAAACAAATCTTCAAATCTGAGCACATCAAAACTTGAAGGCAAGAAAATTTTGCATGTACTTTCACTATTCATAAATCATCCTGTTGATATCATGAATTGACGTTCATTCTCAAAGTTCTTTTTTCAGTTAAACAGAAAAGGTCCTCTACTGTATCCTATCCCCATAGACTGTCTTGATCGAGTTAGGACAATTGTAGCCGAACAAAAAACAAATGACTGTAAGTTCGTGCTTTTTCAAAATCTGAATGTTGATGTTCGGTGCCTGGATAGGGCGTGAGTGTTGACGTTATATTCTAATGTTTAAGATTTCCAAAAAAAGTCAAAAATTGATTTCAAAATATATCTTCAAAATTTTATTATGCCTTACTGTAAAAGATATCAGAGCAGACAACTATTTCTCAAATCGATAATAATTTTTTATTCTTACGATTCTATTTCTTTTCTCTTTCATGCATTGTATTGATGATAGCATTTTAAGAGATGAAGCGCCTTCCACCAATGTAAGATTTTTTCTCTTTTGAGAACAACAACAACAACTTCATTCATTTAGAATCCTTTGTCGGAACAGGTGGATTCTCTCAGATTCTACTCCATGAACTCACTAGAACGTTCTCCTATACCATTACGGGAGTTTTTATCTATACTTTTATCATCGCAAGTACGTAAAATTTCAACAGAAGAGAGGAATTTTCTTTACTTCTATTACGACTGCCGTAAAGCGTCGTATACGAGGAAATATGGCCAACTACAATCGTCGTAAACGATAGCATACAATCGTAGAGAACATCATTTTTCGTCGTGTATACTATTCTATCCCATCATTCTCGCCAATAAGTTACATTGCTCGGTAAAAATATTCGTACAAATTCATGTATGTTGAAAAATTTAATGTTAACGCCAAATAAATTTTCACAATAATTTTTTCTCTCTAGGAACAACTTTATCAACTGATAATTTATTGGTAAGACTAAATGAATTTTTCAAAGAATTTTTTTTCTTTTGAAATATTTCTATTGAACAGTTTTTTGGTTAGATAAAAAGAGTAAAAAAGATTGTTTTAAAAAATTGGTTTTATCTAATCAAAAGACTGTTCAATAGAAACATTCCTAAAGAAAAAGAAATTATTTTAAAAATTCAATTAATCTTGCCAATAAATTGACCGGGAAAGCTACTCCGAAACAAAAAAGATTTTGAAAATTTCTTTAATTCTATGGATAAATTATTCAATAAAATTATATCTACAGAAAAAATATTTAATATACCGAGCTTAACTTATTATTCAATTGTATTGTTGTTTAAAAGGTAAAGAATGGAAATTGTACTTCAAAAGTATGTGTTATTGTTAGAATTTTATTTCTAGTAATAGAGATTCATGTAGTGCTAGATGATATCATACCCTCTATAAAACCACAGAGGAACTATGGATCACGACAAAATTCTCTTTAGCTTATGTCTGTGATTATTGTAATTTCTCTTGTAATAGAAGCTAACGACAAAACTACGGTTGTATACACCTGTCGTTTACAATGATCGTGTGCGACAGTCGTTATTTGTCGTGTTCGATCATAGGTTTTTGACCTGGGAGATTATCAAATCATCTTAAGCACAATAAAACACAGAGGAGTAATTTCCTCCTTCCCTTCGCGGATAACAATGATCTCTCTTCTTCTTAACTTCTCACTCGTTCATTGTAGTCATGCCCAATATTCCAGCCGATGCCCGATGGGCACATAATGGAGTGACCGTTGCTGGTGGTCGTGGAGCGGGCAGTGCCACCAATCAACTCTGGAGTCCTTATGGTCTCTTCATTGATAATGACCAAACGATGATCATCGCTGACTGGTTGAATGATCGTATCGTTCAATGGAAGATTGGTAATATGAATGGACAAGTCGTAGCTGGTGGCAATGGCCGTGGAAGTCAATTGGATCAATTGGATTTGCCAACTGATGTGCTGATCGATAAGGAGACCAATAGTCTCATTATTAATGATCGAGACAATCAACGAATCGTGCGATGGTCTTGTCGCCGTGGCACAACTCACGGAGAAATCCTCATCGACAACATCGTTTGTGGAGGATTAGCCATGGATAATCAGAGATATCTGTACACCTGTCATACTTGGAAAGCTGAAGTCAGACGATATCGAATAGGAGACCACAATGGAACTCTTGTGGCTGGTGGTAATGGTGAAGGTGCTGGTCTCAATCAACTTAACTTTCCGACCTTCGTCTTTGTCGATCAACAACAGGCTGTCTACGTGTCGGACAACAGGAATCATCGTGTGATGAAATGGAATAAAGGTGCAAAAGAAGGAATTGTCGTCGCTGGAAGTCAAGGCGAAGGGAAGGCTTTGACACAATTATCATATCCTGAAGGACTTTTTGTCGATACATTGGGTACTCTTTATGTGGCAGATTCAGGGAATCATCGAGTCATGCGTTGGCTTCAAGGAGCAAAACAGGCCACTGCCATTGTGGGTGGGAATGGCCCAGGAGCAGAAACAAATCAGTTTGACAGTCCCAAGAGTTTGTCCTTCGATCGACATAGCAATCTCTATGTTGCCGATTCTTGGAATCATCGTGTTCAACGATTTTCTATCAAATAAACTCATTACGATGAATTATCTTTTTTCTTTCCTTCGTTCAAATAGATCGCGTTAAATTGATGAAAGAAATGGCTATTCCATTCGCACGTGCGAGACAGACTCGAATCATCCACATGAGATGTGTCAAAGAGTCTGGTGAAAGTTCGGTCGTGTGCTACGAACATCAAGGTAATCACAGGCTGAGGTTTTAGCGACCTATCCAGAAGGCCTGCATATCAAACAGGGACCTCAAAGGGACTAGTTCACTTACTCTATTCTAAAAAGATCCCTAACAGTCCTGTAGGCTCTGTCTAATCTCATTCTCAAAAAAAAATTCAAACAACTCACTTATTAATGAATGATCGGACGAATATAGTGCTAGTTCTAATTTTCTGTCTACTTGATATATTTTGTTTCTGATCATAACTAACCGCAAAATCATCATTTTAATGATAATTATTTTTGTTGTCAATAATAAACAAGTCAGCTTGTGAATCATCAACACATACGAGAAAAAGAATTATTAAACAGTCTTTACTGTCTGAATGCATTAATTTCTGCAGTTGCGCACGTTAACCTATTCAACATACTATTCTTTTCTATATTTTCCTGTTCATATCAATATACACCATTGATTTATTATAATTCAACAAATTACAACAGACAATTTGACTTCAAAAAATAGAAAAAGAATTGCCATAGCGAAGTGTTTAAATCAAATAAAGTGTATCGGAATTATATTATTGAATAGAATAATATTGAGAAAACGAATTATAATCATTTTCTTATAGTCAATTTATGCACCTTTTAATTATACATATAGCAAATCTAGTTTGAATATAATTTTATTTTTATTATCACGATATTCAAAAAAAGTTAGCATTGGTTTTATGAGATTTTGTAAGCCAATAAAAAGAAATTAATGTTGAGTATAAACAATGAATTCAAACAGTAGAACAAACAATTAAAATTACAAATAATTATAAAAATTCATTGATCAGTTTTATCTATAATATCTGAATTAGAAAATATTCAATAGATTATATTCGAAAGACTTTCGATGAGAATGAATATCCAAGTAAAAAAAGTTTGTACGACTACGTGTTGGCTTCATATATATTAATCATTGATTTGTCATTTATATCACCCAAGTACACTTAACTTTGACAAACTACTGTGTGTTTTATTGACAAATTTTTTACAAAAAAAAAAATTTATGTTCATAATAAAGGAAAATATTGGTGAAAGTGTTCTGGCCGAACAAATGATACGCATTCATGAAGACTTTTCAATTTAATGCGATATAGACATGCTATATCATTGATAAAATTGTTTGTTACTATTATGAGTGGTTCTTATTTGATGGTGAGCATCCGTAAACGAGACAAATGAGATTCTTTTTTTATCGAACACAAATTGTTTAGCATAATTCACATGTGCTATCTTCAGAATGAGATAAGAAATAGAATCATTGTTAATGATTTATGCTTTCTTTTTATGATTGTTTATTACATATAAATTTCTCTGTTTTCAATCAATTTTTAACTTACAATGAAACCTTGTGCACTGGTACATGAGAAGATTGATCATGTTCGGATCAATTTACTACCATAAGCAAGCACAAACTAAAGTATTAAAATTTTATGATATTTCTATTCTATGTAATACGTCCGAAATTCGAAATTTCAGTAGCATTTATAATTTTCTTTTTTGTTATGGTTGGATAGAGCTCGTCGAGAGACATAGAGAAAAGAGTATTTCAAATATCAATAAGAAATTTTAAGAAAGTCAAAATTTTAGGTCTATTTTACTTTCGTAAAATTTCGAATTGTGAATATAGTACATAAACTGGAAATACCTTTAAATTTGAATATATCTCACGAGGAAAGATTCTCCTCTTAAAAAGAGCTTTTGAGCTCATATTTTGATCAGGAGTAGATCTCGATGAGTTTAGAAAAACTACAAAACATTTCGTGCTCACCGGTCTTTATTCAAGAGACATTGAATTTTCAAGCTTCAAAAATAGTACTTTTGATATACCTTGGAATCTTGATTTTTCATCTTCAAGAAGAGCCTTAAGTCATTTGAGAGCTTTATTCGATAGACTCTGTTATTGACAAACTCAAGCATAACTTTCAATCTAATCCATTCAACATATTAGCAGATATTGAATTTCGTGTATACTGAACAGTGTAACCTAATGCAAACCACGCATAGCGAATGAGTTCGTGTCAAGCAGGCACTGACATTTGATTGTAAGATAGCGAAATCACCCGGATAATGTTATCACATTCACTCATAGACATAGGCAGTTGATCTAACATCACTCTGTCATATACACGACGAAGGTGTGGGTGTGAATCTTCTCTTCATGCACATCTACACCCACACCCCATATCGATGCAAGCCGATTGATTGAGCCACCGCCGTTGTAACACGCTACGTTTTTGTTTTATAAAAAAGACTTCCAACGTCCCAAACCAATTTTACGAGATGTTACCGTCTGGTTTCTTATCAATTAGTCTTCTATCATCATTTTCTCTCTTTTTCATGTAAAAATTTCTCAAAATTAAGAATATTTTTAAAGAATTTCGGTCGCCATCACTAATCAATGCATCGACTTTACGCCTCTAGTTGCCATGCCATTTACGACAATCGTACCAAGAGAAAATGAAAATGAATATAACTCAAAGCGTTCAGAAAAGAAAAGAACTGTCTTACCGGAAGACTTTTATAGACTCGACAAAAACGTTTATTCAACATATCTATTGAATGTTACCAGACATGTGAAAGTTAGTTTGTTGTTCTCAAAAACAAAGTTAAACACAATCGAGGAAACTGCTATTCAAGAGTATGAACGACACTAAGTATTTTACTGTAAAAAAACAAGTAAACTGGATTATAGAAATTAATAAAAAAAGACCAGTAGGTCAATCAATGATATATTGTTTTGCGATGGGTTAATAAGCAAAATAATGTGTACGAATATAACCATTGAAGAAAACATTCATTGGATTGAAACATATAAGTTAATATTCTTCATCGAATTTACCAAAGCAAGAAATCATTTTATCAATGATGACTATTTTTTTCAAACTTACGTCTTGTTCATTGTCTTTGTCGCCGACCCACAAGTGTACGCATCTACCATCGATTCTATAGGTAAAATTGTCATTCGTTAATCGTTGTGTGTTTTTCAAGAGCCAATGATATGTTTCATTTACTTGTACTGTCGTTAACCACTCAAATTCAAATGAACCATATGATAAAAAATGAAATCCATTAATAAATCGAGCCATCTGTCGACGAGATTGCATTTCACCATGTACATAGAAACGTTCAACCCGAGTGAACATGCGAAATAATCGTTTTTCATCATTCTTTCCTATGAAGTTAATCTTGTCCAAGTGCAAAATGCGAATCTGTTCATAACCACTAGTTTTTAATCCGTTTAATGATAATGATGATAATGCAAGCTCACGAAGACGTGGCATGTTATCGGCTAATTGAACAAATGTTTCCAGCGATGCTTTCAAATATTGTACTTGAGATAAATCGACTAGAGAACGTAGAGTATCGAGTGATAGGTGCTTGGCCAATAAAAGTACTCGAACGTGAGGAAAGCGATGATGATCAGCTAGCAACTGTTGTTCATCAATTTTGTTTAATACAAGTGTAAATATATGATCATAGAACAATCTTTCATTTGATACTGTCCGATAGATCGGTGGCAGAAAAGATTCACAAGCAGATGTTTCAGCAAAACGAGGCACACTATAGATTTCATATTGATTACAAACAATAAACCAATGTTTTTCTACGATCCAAAATGGATTAGAAAAAGATGAGAGAAGTTCTTGCTGTTTATCATTGCTCAATTGTAAAAAGAGTTTAAATTTGAAATTGAATATTTTTAGATGAGATACTAACATTTGCCATCGTAGACTATCACAAAGATCGTCATTACCTTGTGCTTGAATTTCGAAATATTTCAAACGTGATAACTTCGATAGTAGAAGTTCGATTTGGTCAAGAGTCACTGAACAATCTAAATTTTTGATACAGAGTTTTTCTGAAGAGATTATATTCTTGAAAGATCAACATCGATTCTTATCACTTTACTTTTGATGAACTTCTCTTTAATATCCTTCAGTTATTTCAGTTCTATCGTCTTAGAAAAAACATTTTAACAATACTGTAAATCAAGTTTCTTCTTGAAAAATGGCAACACGCCTAATTTTCGAGGAACAATAACATGAAGAAAGAATTTTTTCGAGAAGATGACTAAATAGTAAAATGTAACTTACTTTCAATGTTGAGAATGAGTCGAATAAGTGACTGTGGTGGGATCTGATCGTAGTTAAGCACAGGTCATGTAGTACTTTCTTGAACATTAATGTCGAGCGAAGTCAGATTTGGTGCTAGATGAGAAATACGTTGTAAATGAACGAACCAACATTCACCAAGTGTCAAATGACGAAGGCGAGAGAATGGATGAGTTGTTGTAGTAGTAGCAGTGAGATGTCGAGCATCATAAAGGATAAGACGATTGAGCTGAGGAAACAGCTGTACAATTACATTATTAAATTGTTCAGATACTGAATGTACTTGAGTGAATTCCAAGGAGGAGAGAAGTTTGAGCTGACTAAGACCGATACATAATGGTTTCAATGAGTTCTTATCAATTTGAATTATTCGTAGAGATCGAAGTTGAACGAAATGTTCGATGTCTTTGAAGTAAGAAAAAAATAATTTCGATTGATCTGGTGTGTCATTAGCGTCGGATAATGTGAGTGATACGACTTGATCAGGTCGAATATGACGACAGACGAAATCAAATTGAGATTTACGACATGATTTAAAGTTGAGATAATATCGATCATAATTCGTAATAATAAAATCAAGATAAGGACTTAAATTAAATAATGCATAGAAGATGTCGTTAGCTAACAGATAATTAAATATTGAATGAATAAGCTCGATGGGTAATCGATCGAAAAGAATTTGTGACATTCTTTTCTATGAATTATTTTTATAGAGTTTGATCAATTACTGTCTAGAAAATTCGAAAATAACAATCATTTACAAAAAAAAAATAGAAAGTTGTTTGCTAAACACAGCAGCTTGTCGGAATTGCATGCTTTTTCTTCTATTTGACATGACGACATGCAAGTGAATAAATTATCACAAGCGCAAAAAGAGGCATGATTCATACTGTTTTTTTTTTCTTTTCTCTCAACAAATATTCTCTTACGTTTGCTTTTAACTATCGAAACTAATCAAAAAACAAAATTCGACTATAAGCTTCCCTGTTCACGAATGAGATTTTGGATTAACGCATATGAATCATTGGTTGTTTACCGAATATATTGAGACAATCATCGATCGCATTGGAATGAATTTGAAACAAATATTCATCACTGGTAAGCTCATATTCTGTGTCTTGATGACTATTTAGAGAAGTAGTGGATGTTGAATAACTCTATCTCTCTCCATCCTGTGTGTTGATATATTGTTCCTTTTATGCCTATCTAAAAAGAAACGAAAAAAACGACATACAGTGACATACCGATAGTGTTACTCAAGTAAGAAAGAGCAAATAATTTAACTAAAAATACATCATGGTAGACTATCGTGACAATGGGATTCACAAATATCAAGAGTTTACTTGCCATATACTGCACAATAAATTATATTCAGTTTTATCGAAAATAATTAACTCAAAAATAATAATAGATTAGTCACTATAGGCATCTATAGTTTCTACTATTCGACAATCGACACGTCATGCAAAGGAAAGTTTCAAATGAATAAATTGCACATGAGTATAATTGTTTAATATGAAAATTTGACTTTGATTGTATCTGTGATCTTACATTTACTCTTGAGGATGTGAGTGTGTTAGCATAGATAACCAAAAATTTCACACTCGCATTGTCATCCAAAATCAAAGAGTGAGTACTTTTTATTTTTATTTTTATTTTTTGTGAAAGGAAATAGGAGAGGAGAGAATGAGAATAGATAGGATTAATTGAGTGATAAGAGTAGACTCAAGAAGAGGGTAGTATAGGCTACAAATTTATTCCCCACATTTATACGTGTGGTGAGATGATTTATTGTTAGTTTATTGTTTTCTGTTTTTAATACAATGTGAGAGAAGATATTTGACGTCACGAGTCATGTGATGAGTTACCATTCTATTTGTTTTTATTCTTAGTTAGAATATATCTTTTCTTTTTTTGTTGTCACAAAGCAGGTAGCGCCAAATAAACACAATTTCATTGAAGAATATACATTAATGTCTACTTCTCTTCTTATTCTACCTACAGAAATTATACACCGTATTATTGATCATCTCGATATTAAAACTACTTTATTTTCTCTTAAATATGTCTGTAAACTTTTATGCAAGAATGTTAATTCTTATAATCGATATCGACTCGATTTTCGTTCCATATCTAAATCTAATTTTCATCAAATTTATTCCTTTATTCATCCAGAAAATATTATTTCACTAGTTCTCTCCGATGGAGATGAAACACCTGGCCAAATTGAATTATTTCTTTCACTTTTCAATATATATGATTTCATTCGACTTCGTTCATTAACTCTTATTCAAATAGAAGAGTCTCACTTAATTAGATTTCTCAAACATATTCCACTTAATCTTCTCTCATTATCAATTGAACATCAAGATTCACTGAATCTATGTTATGAAACAATTGAACTGCATTCATCTACTATTGCTAAGCTTTATCTTCATGCGTTACACATGCCAACTGCAAATTTCATTATAATCAATATACAATGGCCTATACAATATTCACTACAATATTTAACACTAAAAAGATGCTCATGCAAACAATACATCAATATTCTTCATCGTTTACCTCATCTTCAAACATTAATACTGTTAGATTTTAGTATGAATGATAGCGACAGTACTTTTGCTTCATATACTAAATTAGAATTACCATCACAAATAAAATCATTAACAATCAAATCAGATCTTATGTTATTGAATAAGATTCAAATGTTACTTTCACTTACTTCTTCACTCATTCATCTAAAACTAGTGAGTTGTACACGTATATCTGACTCTATCTTTGATGGTTTACAATGGGAGCAATTCATCCAAATGAAATTGCCTGATCTTGACAAATCCGAGTTTTTCTTCAGGAGCTTTATAAATACAAATCTAACCAATCATCATATTGAGGAAAGGATTAAACCTTTTCGATCATCATTCTGGCTTGAATACAAACGTTGGTTCGTTAATTGTACTTGTATTAAAGGTAGAATAGTTGAACTTTATTCAATACCAATATGTGAGTCATCCCAAACGTATGATTTTAAAATAAATAAAGTTTCCTGTTCAACCTTGACTACAACGGGTAATGATGAAGAAGCTATCATGGATAATGTGTCTCATTTATGTGTTAATTTGAGTAAAACACAGATTAATATCATCTCTGAACAGGTACAGATTATTATGTTTTTTTTTTGATAAGAATATCTTGGAAGCAGAGATGTCCATTGCGGCTGAAAACCTGCCGCTGAGGCCACCGCGATGGCTATTTCAAAAATGTTCTAAAAGTTACTTCTAACAAGGTACTGAACTAGCACTCTTGTTACTCTTCCATCAAATTCATTCAGTCTCAAAATATTATATTCATGGACACCGAAATCCTCTACAAATTCATGTAGTTTTGTAATTCGTGTCTAAAAAAAGATGCCACTGCAATGATATTATTAAAATACATCCCATACCATGTCACTTGTTTAAAAAGAAACTGCGACCGCTGTGGACACCTCTGATTCGAAGTTCAGTTTTATTTACAAAATTCTAATAAGATTACATTAGATTGACTTTTCTGCATATAGAATGAACTAACAAATGGACCATTATATCGGAAAATCACAAATCTAAGTCTTCGCTTGGACGATTCATATCCAGAAAAATCCATTTATTATCTTTCATTACTTATCGATATGTCATATCTTGTGCAACTCTCACTGGATTGGACGGTTTGTAAAATATCGCTTCCGATTGTTAAACATGTCATCGACAATTTATTACAACGAGCACCTAACGTTCATACACTAGACATAGATTGTGGTAAGTTTGATAACGACTACAAGGATCCTATGGAGATAATTGTTTCAATATTATCAAATAACATAAAACATATCAAACTCAACGTTGGAATATATTCTCCAATGAGATTTATTCTCACACAAGACAAGCCCTTATCGAGTATAATATTTAAATCATCAAATAACCTATCAAAACAATACGATGAAATTATAAATTGGCTACAAAAGAATAATCGTGATTTTACTTATCGTAAACAGGATTCTTCTCTGGGCTTGTGGTTTGGTAACAACAAATAAAAAACTCAATAGGAATAGAAAATAAACATGGATCTTTTAACTAAAATTATAATCACACAAAAATCTAACAGTATTTTTTTTTATTCAATAATTCTGTTTTAATCAATTCAAGAGTAACAGAAATTTGTCCTATATGCAAAAACATATCATAAGTTTCTTTTCTCGCAATAAATTATAACACATCACATTGTTTTTTCTTCTTCTTTTATATTCTCGTACATTATGTATTGATTTTTTCATTTGTTTTGTGACCGTCTGTGTTAGCTTTTGGTCTTCTCTTTATATATATTCGTAGTTAGTGTTATTAAATAAACTACACTCACGCTCACAAATACACACAACTTACAAAGAGAAAATAAAATTTGATTTGTATCAGGGCTCTGAATGGGACAAAAAAACTTGTTAGTGTACGGTCCCTTGTGGGACCAATGTATAGAACTCACAAACTCTGACTATTATAAATTTATGATATACTGTTTGATGGCTTAAAATAATTGATTTAAAAAACAAATGTCAAATAAATGAATAAATCAAAATTATAACAATATTTATAGTTGATAGGCACGCTTTGAAATTTTATCACTTCGAAAATGTTTACCATTAAAATTATTATTCTAACAATTTATCAGATTCATTTCATATCGATACACTGAAAAGCCTTGTTTGTATTGTCAGCCATGTCTTCAATACATGATGTCTTTTCATCTAATAATATATACGATATACGCTACAGAAACCGGCAAATATCATTTTATTATTCGTTTTATTGGTTTCATCACTGCATTGACTTAATTATTAAGTAAGATTTGATGCACATCATCCTTTCACTCAACGAACTTTGGTAAATACTCTTGAATTTTACATAAAATTAGTACTTTCACTTGGAAACGTTCCAAAACACACGGAAGTTGTTACGATTTGAATAGGCATATTCAGTAATTGTTATATCATATTTTCCCTCTCGTACAATAGTAAAAGTGAGAGTAGATGATGAATCTTATTGGTCAATACTTAATGGTATAGATTCATTGTGTACGCCTCGAATGTTTGCTTGTAAAATATTTAAACAAGAAAAATTTATGTTTTACTCAATAGAATAAAAAGAAAAAGATTTCATCTGGTTCAGTATGAGATACATTAAAATAAATTTTCTTTTCTTCATTAATAATAACACGCATATGATTTTATGAATCAATTATTAATTGTCAAGCATCAACAATTCAGATACGCTCTTAATATAAATATATAGGGTGTCCAGAAAGTCACTAGAGATAGAAAATTATCAGCTCTTGTACGATCCGATATCTGTTTTTTCGACCTGGAGACCTAGAAAATCATACATGGATCGCACAACATCGTACAAGATCTTATAACAGGGTTGTTTGATTTGAGCATTGATAAAATTGTTTCTTGCTCAATATACTCCAAAAGAAACTTCAGTCATTATTATTATGATACGAAGGCATGTCTTTTCTGCATGTTTCCACTGAGTAACAAATCAAGTGACACACATTCCATCTAGATGACTCTATTAATGAACATATTATTGTCGAATAATATACAAAAAAATTTATGTATAATATTCATTGTGATCAAGTACATCTCTTTCGTGACCCATTTCTTGGTATGCATCTGAATTAGCTCAAACGCAATCGTGATCACATTTCGTCAACAAAAACTATGTCCCTGATAATCATAAAGTATTAATTCGTACGGAATTTGTTTGATTAGCGTTTTGATGAAAAACAACATGTTAGCTAAGTGTTATTGGTAGTAGATGATAGATTCTGCGCATAGCTGACTTGAATTTCTACTAGTGGTAGGTTTTATTTGAGTCTGTTGTGTTCTACCAATGCTAATACTAAGAACAAAGGAAAGATTTTTTTCAAATCTTTTCGTCTAGTAAATCATAACAATTGGTATTGAACAACATCTATACTTTGTTATACCTGAGTTTTTTCAAGAAAGATATAATATCTTTCCTAGAATAGAATGAGCCAAAGGTTGGGTTTGCATACTGAACTTCATATTTCTAAGTTTCTTCATGTCTAGATATTTTCTCTGTTACATGAGACTAGTAGTTGGGCGTGGACATGAGCGAATACGAGCCTCACACTGCACAGTCATGCACCAATTGAATACATTAATTAATGCTCAACAATATGGGTTTAAAATTTTGTAGTATCAAGCGTGTTTTTTTTTATTTAGAAGCTTGTGTTCATCAATCAGAACTGCGTCGATCAGTTTGTCTTTGCGACAAGTTTCGCTCGATATTGCTCTTCTGTCGGTGAGCCACTGAATCGATTGTATAGACGACCTTCGTTAAAATATTTGGCCAATGCTGGACGACTTCTCATTACTTGTTCAAGTTTGTCCAATGCTTGCGAATCCTCATTAGCTGGCAACAAAGCCGAATGGAAATCTTTCGCAAGTGTAAACGCATAAAATACGAAATAATCCGCAATAGTTGGTTCATCTTGATCGTAGAAAAACGATGTTGAACTCTTTGCGAGAAGATCATTCAACATCTTGAGATCACCAGCAATTTTTTTCACTAGTCGAGCATATGGATCATTTGAATCGTCAAAATCTACCTGATTCCAGAGGACCATGAATATATTAAATATAATATCGGTGTAGGCACAGGAGACAACACCATCGATAAGAGCTTGAAAAACAATAGGATCTTCATTGGTTGGTTTCGGTTTACCGTATAAGTCGAATTTACGTGCTATGAATTGCCCTAGAAATGGAGAACAAGTGTTTATGTTAAATGTCTGTATAATTATACTACACTAACAAACCGATAGGTAGAGTTTGTGCAATAATGTGTGTATTGTTCCAATGGAGTACGGGTAGATTACCAAATGGTCCAGAAATGCTTCTATCTGCCTTGCGAGCAGGCCACTCTTCGGCGAATTTTTCGAATAGTTCAACATCTTCCTGATATTCGACATTGGGATATTTAGCTGCAATATCTTCGAGCATGTAGCGAATCGCCTGAACGCGGCCGCGAGCGTTCCAATAGCGAAAGCGGACTTTTATCTTCTCTTGATTTGCGCTCGTCGACATTATATCAGTATGCACTAGAACAATAAAAAATAGTAGTTCTCGCCATCATTTTTTTTTGTTCTTCTTTATATATTTACTCGCTTGCCATAGAAAATAACTCAGTATCTATATACGAGACACCAAATATTTGCTATTGTGTGAAAGCAAACCTATCATAACGCGACACATTTTCATTATTGTGGTTATCATTCTATTGGTTGCCTTTTAGAAGCCACAAAAAAAGAACTACTTTAGGGGTCGTACATAACTGAAGATTGTAACTTTCAAGTTACTACCCTGCCTGCCTTCCACTATTTAACAGTAACTGTTATCAAAACTACTCAGTATATACTCAACGGTAATATGAATTACATGCATTGCTTTAGCAAGAGAAACTCAAAAAAAGGCGAGCTTGCAAAAATACTACCATCCTTCAAGTCGTGTATTATACCTTTGTCAATCTACTAGAACTTCTATGCGATCGTTTACCAGCACATTAAATGTACTCAGTAGTTAATAAATAATCATCTTGTTGTTCGATTAATTAGACCCCTTTTTCTCAGCAAACAATCTATGACGACGGCGACATGAAAAAGACATCCTTCGATGCCTAATTACTTGAGCTTCTATTGAACAGATGAATCCATCCCAGCAAGCAGCTCATGGTCAGCAGTACTTGCGATCCACAAATCGTCACTTGAAGGAAATTAGAGACGATTAGGTCATGCAGATATGTACATAATTCATATAATAATAACTTGAATTTCTTCAACTTCATAATAGTTAAAAGGTATACATGTGTACTGGGGGTGTGAAGTGTGGGTCGTGTCAACATCACTCGCATAAATGTTATTTTTCGAGTCGACTGCAAGATGATAATATGGGTTTGATTCATAGTCATTACTAGCAGCTATCTTTACACATATCGACGAACCTTTCCGCCAGGACATGATACCTGGTTCCAGGCGCCGGATAGACATTAGCTGAAATTCTTCTTTCCTTATGGGAGAAGATTCATGCTTCACGACTCGCCCTCACCCTGTCTTCGAATATGTGTAGCGCTTTTGCAAACAGGGAGAAAGAATCCGTGTATGTATACTTTCCCTTCTGTAGAGCAAAGTCACATGAGCGTATATGTCACCGATATCTGAGTAATAAGAAAGAACAGATTTCTCTTTCATTTGCAACGATTGTTCGAAGTGTTCAATAGCGAGATGAAGATAATTAAGACGAAGGTGAATCTGACCGATGTCCATTTGGAACACGGCTAAATCAGAATGATTGGCTGGTAGAATTTTTTCTCGGGTGCCATACATTTTCTGAAATATACAATTTTTCGTAGTTTTTAGGGAAAATTATTCGAAAACAAAAGACCAGTATAAAAATGAACTTGTCGATTTTGTCGTCAGTAAATTCTTTACCACATAAGTTTAAAGGAGAAGCATCCAGTCGCTCAGTTTTTCTACGATAGAATAATTTTTATTTTCCTGAATCAGTCAAAATATTGAATGTATATTTCATTTGTATTAACTGATGTCGTCCAACCGTATTTTCGCGCTTTGCTGAAGTCACCCTCGATATTGAATGATATGTTGACGACTAATTCTATAAATAACATATGCAATTATAAAAGTATGCTGCTTTTCAATCATAATACACAGCGTTCAGTTCAAGTGCTTAATTTATATAGATTATGATAGAAATTTCTCCTAGATTGGTATAGAAGATTTCGCCATAAAAATACTCGACTTCAGTCTACTTCGCTTGAGAAACGCTCTATTTCTCATCTTCAACAATGAATAACTATCGCTCTATGCCGTTCTCTGAATTTTTGAAGTGCAAAATAACAGTACTACTCCAGTTTCCGTGCGAATAGCAATCAAATCTGGAAATACTATGGAACCGAGACCGACAGTTAAAATAGTAATCTTGATATTCTAATAACAGTTTTAACTTACACTACTGGCCATAAGTCCCCGGATACGTGGTACTCCCACACTGCTTCGATAATTTTCCAGCAAATTTTTACCAGAGATAGAGCTTAAAAAACTGTTATCGCCAGCACTAATCCGAGCTCTATCGATTGAGATAGTATGGAGTCACAGGTAAATAGAGGTGAAGTTAGTGTTTGAATCATAACTCCATACTATCTCAATCGATAGAGCTCAGATTAGTGCTGGCAATCCCAGTGTTTTAAGCTCTATCTCTGGTGAAAATTTGATGGAAAATTATCGAAGCCGTGGGAAAGTATCACACATCTCGAGACTTATGGCCAATAATGTAATCGTGCTTTATATTTTTGCTGCCTTATGACATTGAAATGGTCTTTTTTGATGAAGAATATAGTTCTGATAGTTGATGTCTCTATGAATACAACATGAAATTTGCTTCATCCACGATAATAAAAATTTTCATTCTTCATCATCATCATCATCACCATCATCGTCATCCCCATTCTGACATTGTTGTGATAAGACAAGAGACAAGATCAGTAGAACCCTACCTCAAGCATAGAACAACAGTGTAAATAGATGTAACAGTCATCATTTTGCTTCTCACACAAGAGTATGTTCGTTTCTACAATGCTGAATATAATCCAAAGATGCATTTGTTTGTTACAATTTTTTACAATACATCAAAGCATCTAGAATGTTCAAGTTGATTCTAAATCAATTTTTTTCCCAATAGTTATTTTCATAGTTTGTCTACATTTTGATAATTTATTTTAATTCTTTTCAAAATTCTACTGTTTGAGAGACAACAAAAAATGAAATATTCGACAATCAAAACAAAGTTGAAAATAGAAATAGATGACTAGTTTTTTTCGAACGTTGGTTTTAATTTCCAACAATATTCATCAATTTTCAGACATCCTAAAGATCGTCAGATGAATACATTTTACAAAAAGATACTTGAGGATGTGAGTATGGGTATCAGTGTGCGGTGCGAGTATACACCCACACCCTAGATATCCCGACATGGAGAGGTATATTTTTATGTAAGATAGGCGGTAAGCAGGCGCGTCGTTTGGCCCTTCATCATCTCAATGCTTTTTGTTGCTTTCCTTATCTCGACATCATTTAGAACCGCCAACTACCATTTTTCTCTAATATGCAGCCATTCATTATCATAGAATTGATAAAACCGAGTAGTGCCATAGAAAGCGTTATTCTTTTCATCCAACTCATACATTAAAAAAATGAAGATCGAGAAGATGGAAATGTTTCATGTCAAACCAAGATGGCTCTTTCTCAAAGTAGTATAATCTAATATTTCTTCAGAATTGCACTCCTAAAAACAATTTTTAGATCACATGCGATGACGGGACAATAGGTTGGGGCGAACCAGTGGTGGAAGGAAGAGCTCAAACGGTTGAAGCTGCTGTAAAAGTAAATTGATAGAATATTTATTAGACGATCGAAAAGTGATACCTTTTGAATTTGCTCCATCTTGTTTCGGCAAAGTTCTGCAAAATTTTGCTCTTCTGGAATCTTCTCAACTGATAGCTGCATATAAAAAGTTAAATCTCTCACTTTTGGACACTTTCCGACTATATAAAATATTTTCAAATTCGCAAGATACTTTGAATTCTATGCAATAAACATTCATCATTATTATACAGGATGGTCCAGAAGTTACCGGGTAGTCTTTGATTACGAATAACTTTTGATAGAAACAAGATAGGGAGGTGCGGTTTTCACCGTTGAAAAGACAATGCTCTACTGAATGCTTCTGTATATTATCGCTAATATAGATTGATTATGAAATAATCAGTCGGCGATCTTTGGAAAAACAATAATAGTTCTATGAATGTGACATAGGATAGAGTGGTCTAAAAATCGTTCGATAATCTGTAATTGAAAATGACTCTTGTTCTCTTCGTTTAAACAAAGCTTTTCGCATCTCTTTCTCATAGTCATTGACTATGTATCTCTGGTCAATTTGTTGTTGCTTCTTGTTCGTTTGCTCTTTTAGCACATACCGTGTTTCTTTTTCTCTTTCCATTTGCTTTGTACGTCTCTCTTCTTTCAACGCATTACTTTCTTGAGCGTGCGAGGTATTTATAAGTGAAAAAATAAGGAACAAAAGGGTATTTTTTGATAAAAGCGAATGGGAAGCATATATTTGGTTGCTTTTGTTTTCTTTTGCACGAGTGTGCTGGTTGTGCTTAGCGCAAAGAATAAAGTTAATACTCATATTTAGTATTCTTTGTTTCTGGTTCGAACAGTGTATTGTCTTAAGTTATATCTGATGATGGCAGAAGGTCCAGAACAAAGATTCACTACAGAGCAAAGAGTATTTGTGGTAAAAAGTTTTTATCAGACGAACAACAAGACTGAGGCTTGTTGCCTTTTTCAATAAATAATTCAATCGTCACATCAAACGTGACGCCATTGCAGATATTGTTGATCGATTTGAAGAAAGCGGCACAGTTGATGAGAACAGACGATCAGGTCGACCTCCTACTGTTAATACAGTAGAAAACAAAGCCACTGTTAAATCTCTTTTTATCAACGATCCCACAACATCAACTAGACGTGTTGCATCTGAGCTTAGCATTTCGAAAACGTCAATTCTACGGATTTTATCTGAGTTGAAATTGCGTCCGTACCGTCCTCGCCTAGTGCAACAGTTGAATGATGATGATCCCGATCGAAGGATTGAATTCTGTGAAAAACTTCTGGCGATGGTCGACGAAGATGATAGTATTCTTGATAAAATTATTTGGTCAGATGAAGCAATTTTCAAACTTAATGGCCACGTCAACAGGCATAACTCAGTTTACTAGGCAACCGAAAATCCTCGAGTCAATATAGAAAGAGATTCCAATGTACCTGGCATCTGCGTTTGGATAGGTCTGACATCGTATGATATTATTGGTTCGTAGTTTTTTACTTCTACTGTCACTGATGAGAGCTATGTAGAAATGTTACAGAATTATTTTCAGCCTGCAATCGCTGACTGGCCAAATTTGAATGACTTCTGGTATCAACACGATGGTTCTCCGGCTCATTACAGTCGCATTCCTCGCGAGTATTTGGATGAGACGTTTCCTGGAAGATGGATGGATCGTCGGGGTCCAATCGACTGGTCCTCAAGTTCGTCTGATTTGTCACCGCCCGATTTTTTTGCATGGGATGTTGTAAAAGACGCAGTTTATACAAAGAAGCCCACGTCGATTGATCAGTTACAAGATGAGATTGTTAATGCGTTTCAACAAATTTCAACTGACTTATGTAATAAAGTCTGTCGGCCCGTGGAATCTCATCTTTACAAGTGCATTGAAGCTGATGGTTTCCACTTCGAACAAGATTATTAACTGATTATAATGTGACTTTCTTTGAATCAAATACTATCTGATATTGATGCTAAATGTGAAAAACACAGCATAGGCGAAAATTTAACAGCAATTACAGATTATCGAATAATTTTTAGACCACTATATCCTATGTCACATTCATAGAACTATCATTGTTTTTCCAAAGATCGCCGACTGATTATTTCATAATCAATCTATATTAGCGATAATATACGGAAGTATTTAGTAAAGCATTGTCTTTCCAACGGTGAAACTCGAACCTCTCTATCTTGTTTCTATTAAAAGTTATTCGTAATCAAAGACTACCCGGTAACTTCTGGACCACCCTGTAGAATGTGGAACTTTTCAGCTTTTTTTTGTGAAAAAAGTTGATTTTGAGATTGTATTCATCAAAGGAGAAGTGGACATAGCATAAAAGAGGTAGAATGGTTGGTACCTTGCCTCAAAAGAGATTATTCTTCCTATTTCGTCAATTGTCTCAAGTAAGTCTGATATAAAAATCTTTTCTAGGAAATTGCTCGATATTTGATTGGTCAGGTATGACTTGATTTTGAATTAGATTTGTAATATTCTGAATTTGAAAACAGGATCCACGAGATATTGAAAAACATTGGCAAACCATCTATCGAGGCAGTTTCTATCGGTAATTGATTTCTTTTTAATCTTTTTGAATATTCAACTTAAAAGATTTGACAATTACACAGAAATGGACCCATTCTAACAAGTGCTCTGTCGGGCGTTGAAGAGGCTCTGTGGGATATTCTCGGAAAACAGTATGGTGTCTTTTGTTCTTGTTTGCTCTCCTATTTATTTGTGTAGTCTCAATGTTCCCGTGTGGCGTTTGCTCGGTGGAAAGGTGCGCGATCGAATTCGTATGTATGGATGGTTACCATTTGAACCTACAGGTGACTACAATGACTTGAATGCAAAGAGCATCAACGAAAATCCGGAAGGATTTACCGCGTATAAAACATGCCCCTTTGCAGCAATGCAAATGGTTGAACAGCCACATGTATTACATGCTATTCGAGATAATATTATCCTTCTTCGGGATAAGATCGATAAGCGAATAGATGTTGCGCTCGATTTTCATGGACGAAGCACGCCAGCCATGGTGAGTTGTCCAAATTTATCAATCAGTATAAATGTAAATCATGGTATAGTCTCGTCGTATAATTCACATGATTGAAAATGTTGATATTATGTTTATCGGTACGTATACGTCTATTCCGACATGACTTTTAACAACAGAGGTGTTTATGTCATACATTGTTCAAAGTATGAGTGCTATGCAATAAACGATAACGCAATTATGTAATAGAGAGAGTTAGTATTGACTAGTTCAAGCGGGTAGGAATAGTCCTCTTTCGGTATCTGACCGAATGGGGGAGGCGATAGCGTGGGGACTAAGTTCTGAAATGGTGACTTGAGCGTGATGAGGATTAAGGTCGACTTCATAAAAAGAATTTCAAAAACTGACCACTCTCTGAAGAGTTAATTATGAAATGAATAAAACAATCCAAAACACCGCATATCATATGGACCTATGTCTTTTACATGTTTAGAAGAACCAGTATTACCCGGCGACGTGGCCGCTCTCAAACAGATCTCGTCTTCTACGAGTATTCCCATTGCTACTGGAGAACGTTTGTTCACACGTTGGCAGTTCAACGATCTTATCGAACAACAAGCCGTAGCAATCATTCAACCCGATATCTCCCACTGTGGAGGTATCTTTGAAGCGCGCAAAATAGCTTCCATGGCCGAAGCTCGAAATATTGCTGTGGCGCCCCACTGTCCATTGGGTCCTATTGCCCTGGCATCCTCGCTACAATTGGACTCATGTACGCCAAATTTCCTATGTCAAGAACATTTGACATTAGGTCATGACTACTTGAAAGTCCCGTTTCAGGTAAAAAAAAGAATCTAATTTTTCGTGTAGTTTGAAATGCGATGCATTTAGGTCAAGGAAGGCTATGTGGATGTACCTCATCTGCCTGGACTTGGAATTGAGGTAGATGAGGAGAAAGTGCGAGCAGGAATATTTGCAGGCGATTGGGGTATACCTCAGCTCCGACTGAAAGATGGCAGCTTTGTCGAATGGTAATATCGTCCAGAACTTCTTTTTCCGTTTGTAAAAGATGTTTCTAATGAAATTGTCATTTTCTTGACGACATAAAAGTCTTCAAACATAGATGTGACTTCTCTTTCATGATCTGTATTTCTATCACAATCGACAACTGGATAATGAATGAAGTCAATTGAATTTGACATCACACCCGTACTCACACTCCCAGTTGAAGATTTTTCGAGATAATATTTTTACCTGATATTAGAACGAGAAGTGTGGGCATTTTTACGAGCAAATAGAGGCAGTTTGAAGTGAAGATGTAGGTGTGAAATGATTATCCACACTAGCCCCACCCACTTTATACCAACGCCCATACTCTACAGTGTTGTGAATATAATAACCATCGTTGCAAGTGACGATTCAGCTGGAACAGCATGGAATCTGCTGTATTTGGAGTTTTTTGTCGTCGTAATGAAAACTTTTCGTCAAATTGAAGTCGAATTTAATTTTTATTCTCTTTTCAAAAAAAGGTATTTTTACAAGACGCGTTGCGATTGAACTTTTTTCTGTTAGTGGCTGGACAACTCACATAAGCCAATGTTGAAACGATAAGCCAGCCATTTGTGTAAAAACCTAATTGTGAGTGTTTTAATATGGAATGAAATGAGTTTATGGAGATAAATTGCTCAAGATTTTGTTTAATGGTCTCAATCTCATCGCTGATCATCAACTGACAACGATATACGCGCAAAGAGGACTCAGATTGATTGAACTGTAATCGATGATGAATATCGGATATGAGCGAAAGAACGAAATAAAATATTGCAATATTTTGTATATTTTAAACTAAAACAGTTATTGAATCGATGCTGCAATTCTTTCACTAAGAATGAAGATTTTTTCTACTTGACAGTGATGCTAATCGAAGAGTGAAGCATGAAAGCTTGACTTCCTGTAAAACACGATTCACTCTTATTAGCTTTGATGCTATTGATATGCAATGACAGAGCACTAACCAGGATTTTCTCTGTTCGTGTTCGAAGAAGATCCTGTGGAAGTAAGTATAGTTGCCTTGTGGATTCGGCGGATGTTTTACTTTTTCACAAACAGCAGAAATTTCACAGTTATCATTTTCTTGAGGCTCGTAATTCATGTCTTCTTATGTCTATGCTATGCATAACTCAATTGAATTTCATCAGTTGTTGTTCTGCTCAATGAAAAATGACTAATATCGATATAAATTCACCTAAAAAAATGTGTATTTTATTATTTACAATTAGTTCAAGCCTTTTTTGTTCATTCACAAACAAGATGAATTTTTTACTTGATCTCTGCCACCACCATCACTCTAAAGATGATCATCAAGAGGCTTGACACCTGCCGATCAAGATTTCACCATCACCATTACATTGTGCCTTGTCTACTAGACGTTTTATCTCTGAATCTATGCGAATCATTGATTTTTTTTTCAATGAAGACTTTAAAAGACTGTCCTTTTTTTTGCCGAACTTTTAATTTTTCAAATAGAATTGTTAAAGACTCTTGTTTTTTTCACTATTTTTTCAATTTTCAAAGAAGACTTCGAAACATTCTGTCGAATTTTGATAAAAATTTCTTCAAAACAACAAGCAATCCAATGAAGCAATCATTATCTTGATGATAATGTCAAAAGTATTGATCTGGAAGTGGCTATTACCAGAATTGAGACAAAACTATCGATGTTAATGATAGCAGAAAGCTGCAGATTTTTGCCACGGCTAAACACGTAAGTAAATAATATATGCTGCCACTTTCGTCCGAAATTTCACCTAATCGAAAGCAAAAAGCTATAAACATCTTGAAACTATGCTGAACTTCAAAGCTTTTTTTACTTGACGCTTTTTACTAAAAATCTGCTTGATTTTTTTCGTGCCTGTTGACAAAAAAAAGAGTTCACCGACCGATTTCTTACCGAGTTATATAAGCAGTAACAATAGTGCATCTTGTCGCTAACTGCCGGCAGCGCATTCACTTGCTTATCATTAGTCAGATAGGTGACCATTCTCTTTCTTATCTCCCTCTCTCTTTTGTAATTTTGTGACTCATATACGAAATCAACATTCTAGTGCATTCCTATTTATAAACTGATTTCAGATTCGGGTTCCCCAATTCTGATTATCTTCGGTTAAGTCTTTTAAAAAATCGTTATATTTTTCAAAAACACCTCTCCTTCATGAAAGAACCAAATTTGAACTTTCGATATCACTCGGTTTCTGGATAAATGTGCTGCCTGTTTAACAGTAACTTCTTACCACTAACTAATGGGAGTTGTCATCATTTTCAGCTAGTTATAAACCAATTCCAAACAGCTCTAGTCAATCTCAGATCAATTCCGACCAATTCCAAATTCAGAAGTAGAGTTGGTGCACCCCTATTTGTAGCATTTTCTATTTTCCTAGTCTGTAAACTTTGTTTTGACTCTTTTTAAAAAAACTCATTATGATAAGTAGTGGGATCTTTTCGTAGATTAACATCCATTGATTGAATTGAAATATTATATAAGATGTAAATTACAGATAAATATAATATTAAAAATAGAATATATTACTTACGTAAAGTATCATAGAGAAATATGATAATTTAATTTATATTTATTTTAAATGAAAAATTCAAATTTTCAAGTAATAAAAAAACAAAATATCACGCTGGAATAGTATTCTGAATGCATCTCAATTTGTAGTATAATTTGACTTTTGATAAATCTAAACGATAGAAATTGGAGATGCTAACTCGTTATTGTCTAAAATGATTTAAATTTCTGTTAAGTTGTCATTAGATATCAACATTTCCAAGAGCGACTTAGACTTTTATTCTTATTGTAATGAAACATCATACAAGGTGATATTCAATACCTGATAATGGCTTTTCTTTTCAGAAAATGACTTCTAAAATATCTTCTTTAACATCATCAATGGCTTCATTTTTATGTGATTTGATACGTATTCGTTCAGTTTGTGGAATTAATGCTGAGCGTTTTGTTGCTCAACGAATTTGTGTTGAATGTCAAAGTTTAAAATTAAAATATGATTTAATATCAGCACCCAATGAAGAACATCGGCCAAATGTAATTGTTACTGCTGGTGTGTCTCACTGTTTTGTTTGATAAGCAAAATTTATTATTCAGCTTATGTATTTTAGGAAATGGTCCTTCAAAGTTTTTGTTTGTTGGTCATATGGATACAGTAAATGTTGAAGATGAAACTCAATGGTCGTTTCCACCATTCGCCGGTATAATTGATGACAAAACTCAAAGAATTATTGGACGTGGTTCATGTGACAACAAAGGTGGTATTGTTTGTGCTTTGTACACATTGTATTTGCTTCAACAACTTATTGATGGTAAGGTAATTATTTGATAGATAAATGTCTTTCTAATATACACAATACAATTTAGAGCAAAACTTAAATGTCAGTATTCAATTAGCATGTGTTGTTGATGAAGAAAGTGGTGCTTGTTCATCAATTGGTGTTCGTTATTTATTAGATAGAAAATTAATTTCGGGTTCTGGTGCTATCTACGTCTACCCAGGTACAAATGTTACTATTGGACATCGAGGACTATTAAGATTAGCAATTGATGTCAAGGGTGAAAATGTCCATACTGGAAGTGTAGAATGGAATACTAAAATGAAAGGAGCTAATGCGGTTCGTTTGTTTGTTTCTTTGTTTTTGTTTTATATCTAACTTTATCTTTTGTTTTCTTTTTTACTTTTAAACAGTCAACTACTTTAGCTCGAATTTTAATAGCATTGGAAGATTATGCTTGGAACAACGATAAAGATCCATCCTTTCCTAATTTAACATTGATTGTAACTCCAGGTACGATTAATTTCTGTTTATATTCTTTCGTTCATTGATATGATAACTGTATTTTCTTCACATTATCAGCATTCGACATTTATGAAATTTTTAAATAGGCAATAGATGATAACTATACTAGAGATACTTAGAAAGTCATATTACTAATTAGTTTTAGAATGTATGTGCGCTATAGATGTGACTTAACTGAATTTTCGTCCACTAAATTATTTTTGACTGCAAAAGGACGTATTTGTATAAGGTCATTTTCTGGCTCCCAGTTTAAATCAAAAAAAATTCCTACCCATAAAGAATCAGGGCATGACCATAGGTCGATCTATTCATATGGTTATTGCTAACAGTAAGAAAATTTCGAAATTCTTGTAACTTCCTGCTACGAGAAAAGGCGCCGCGGGATGAAAATGATTTTTGAAAATCTGCATAGGAGATATGAAAATTTCTAAAAAAAAGTTTTTTTTGCTGCTTGCAATAACCATGTGGATAACTCGAACTAAAATCATGCCCTGATTCTTGCTAGATAGGATTTTTTTATTTAAAAGGTGGGCGAGAAGAGAAAAGGATCTTATACGAACATGTTATTTGGAATGTCTACCTTATTTTAAGAAAAAGATGTTTGTTCACAGGTACGATCTTTAATGGTGGTAGTTTTCCATCTGTCGTTCCGTCGAATGCTTCAGCTATGGTTGACATTCGCCTAATGCCATCGACATCTGTTGATGATATTTTGAAAAAAATTGAAGACATTATGAAAACTATAATTAATGAACGAAATGAATTTTATCGTAAAATGACATTTAATTCAACCTCATCTGCTCGATTATCGGCATCTATTACAATTAAGAATCAATTACCAGCTGCAACAATTGATTCAAATCATCCGCTAGTTCACTCTTGTGTGAATGCAGTTAAAAAGATACTCAACATTACTCCTACAACCAATGGATGCGGTCCAGCTAACGAAGGATATATGTTAATTGAAAGTGGTATTCCAACAATTTGTGGGTTTGGACCGATTGGAGGCAATGTTCATGGAGTAGACGAGTGGATATCAATTCCATCAATGACTCAAACAGTTGATATCTATGTTGATATTGTCTCTAATTATTGTCAGTTATTCGGATAATCATTAGTCTTTGGTGATCATCATATTTTCAATGTCAGAGTTTTTGTGTAATTATTACTTGATAAAATATAACGTGACTATCAATTATTTTCGTTCAGCGATCTTATTTCTTTGAGTAAAATATGAAACGTTTCTTGATTTTCATTTTTATATAGATCTACTCACATACTTTCTTACTAATTATCGAAAAGTTTCTTTTCGTAGCAACAAGAACTATTTTAGTTTGTATGTTGAACTATAGTTTATTCAACTTTGAGTTTTGATTCTATTTCTTTCTTTCTTTCTTTATTTCTGTCTAGAAGTACGCACCCAAGTCGTCATTTTGTGTCTTAATTATCCTATAAAACTGAAAGTCAGAATTTAGTCGTTGAAATGAGAAATGAAAGTATCAAGATTAAACCCAACCTTCTGTTGTTAAATGTTCTTCAAGACATTTCCCTAAATTACTAATAGAATCTGAAAAAGACGAAATTATTTGAAGTTAGAAGTATTGTTCTTTCGAGATAATGAAAAAGAGAAACATTAGACGGCATGTTCTCTACTCATCCATAAGATAGTTGACAGTACATATGATGATAGATAATGAATCATATAGATAATTAAACGATCAATAGTCAGTGTTCTTTAGAAAAATATTGATACGCATTGATAGAGTTCTAGTGGTGATGAATTTTACAATGGCTATTTATCGATTGTTTTCGCTTCGATCAGGTGATCGATCGAAACATAATTTCCATAATTTACAGCAATAAAAAAAAATGGTTTTAATAAAGTGTAAAAATGTTTGGAGACCATGTAGACATATGCATACAAATTCGTCATTTTCTGTTGCAATGATCTCTAGAACTGCAAGTCAGAAAGTAATCGTTGAAATGAGAAGTGAAAATATCGAGATCAAACTCGAATGTTCTGTTATCAAATGTTCCTTAAGACTTACAGCTAAGTTACAAATAGAATCCGAAAAAGACAAAATTATTCGGAGTTAGAAATTTTGTCGTTTCGAGATAATTAAAATGAGAAGTTAGGCGCCAGTCTCTTTGCTCATGTATAAAACAGCTGTGTGTACAGCTGATCAGAGATAATGAATCATATAGATAATTAAACGATCAATGAATAATGTTCTTTAGAGATCCGTTGATATGCGTTTATAGAGTTCTTGTAGTGATGAATATTATAATGGCTAATTCTCAATCTCGTTATTACTTAAGTCAGCCGATCGATAGAAATAGAAAGTTTCCAGTTTAGAAAGATAAAGAAAGACTGTTTCCAGTAAAACATAAATATCTTTGTAGGAGAAATTGTTTCAGAAAAAAAATCATGAAGACGATTATTTAGTTTTTTTCGAATAATCGATATTCGTGCTTCGCACCTTATTTCGCATTCTCGACGTACGCATCGAAAGTTCGTATTTTGTATCGCAATGATCTCGAGAATGGAAACTCACAAAATACTCGTTCAAACGCGAAGTCCAAGTATCGAGATCAAACCAATAATATTTTTTGAGTTTTTCTCCAAAGTACATTCAGTTTGGTCAGAAATAGGTCCCAAAAATAACAAATTTGAAAGGATTTTATTACTTTTAAATTTCACGATAATTAAAACGAAAAAAAGAAACAAAAGTTAGGCACCACTCTCTTTTCTCCTATGTGAAACAGGTGCAGATACAGCGGATTATAGATAATGAATCATTGAGATGATTAATCGACCAATGATGAATGATTTCTAGAAATCTGTTGATATGCTTTGGTAGAGTTCGTTTAGTAATGAATTTTAGAATGGCAGTATTTTATGTCAGATCTAAGTTGAGACAGCTTTTTGAAAATGAAATTGTTTCTTGGATTTCAGAAAGAGGTGAGACGACTTCTAAGTTCCAGAAAACTTAGACACTAGAATGTGAGAACTAATTACGACGACAATTCATAACCGTAATGCGTGTTCGATATGAAATTCGTTTTCTCAATTCTTTCGATTTGTGCTTCGCACCGCATTTCGTATGCATTCAAAGTCCACATTTTGTGGCGCGATGATCTGAGCAACGACACATCGTCTTATATTCGTTGAAACGGAATTCGAGAGGCTGACGTTTCTATATGATACAAATTTTGTCCGATTTTTTTGTTGTATTTCGTTTGCTCAAAATAAAATTCAGATTTTAAAATAATCCATGGATTTTATTTTTTCAATATGGCGATGCAATGTAGTGAGACTTAGCGCTGATCTTATCAACGATTAATTATCTTGAAAACTAATAATAATCTTTTGCTTTATACTGAGTGGCATGTTTTTCAAAAGTAAATTAGTATAAATGTATAAGGACTCTTTGTGATATCAATGATTATGGTAGTAAGAAAATTTAAAGTGGATATTATTAAATTTTTTTAAGCAAAAATCTAAACAAAAAGCCATTTTAAGAATTTAATATATATTTGCAATACAAATTCTACAAAATTCTTTGAATTAATTTGATCTGAAGACAATTCTTGTATATGGTACAATCTAATACGAATCTCTTAAAAGAATTGTATCATAAATGTACTCAACTACAAATACATTTTTCTTGACATGTATATTCTTTTTACGAAGTAATAGCGAATTATAATGAATCGAAGATAAAAAAAAACCAAAAAAAAAATAAATAAAAACTTGGACATGAGCTTTCGTACAGAAGAATACTATAAATTTCATCGATTTTTGATACAGCATCTATTGATTTTTGTTTAGAACAAGAACTCGATTACTTCTCTCAAAACCAACTTGTAGTATATACAATTAAACAACCATCAAAAAGATCCCTGTACTTTGTATAATATCAAAATATATTTTTTCGGTAAATTTGACGTTTCGACTAATTCAAAGATTTTACAATTGCATAAATCATGAGTCCAGTGTGCGAGGATGTGCTTTGCACCGAGCTCGCATCATGGGCTTAGCCCGTATGCCATCTAGTTCGTGTCGTTCTTTGTTTGTTTGTTGTATTTACTTGTTCCTTTTCTTCTACTTATCTGTTTGCTTCCTTTCTCTTTCTCTTTTCTTTTGGTTCGTTATTCTTTCAGTATTTCACACTTTTCTACTGTGTCACAACAACCTACTTCCTTCTGTTTCCTTCGCCTTACTGTCACTTTTTAACCTATTTCTCTCACTTCATATATTCATACTGGTGGTAGGATGCATGAAATCAAAGTAAACGCATAATAAAAAAAAACATGAGCTGTTTGTGTATAAAAAAATGTTTCTCGAAATGTGAAATACTCATTATTAAGAATAATCTCTAGAAATCATTCTCATTTTCATCAGTATTTGATACCATTGTCACTTAGTACTCTATAGCAGTCTCCTTGTCTTGAAACAGATGCTCGAATATTATCGAGGATTGATTCATTCATGTATATTCTACTCGTAATATGGTGTGAATATGGTTGCAATGGAGGATGAGTTTTCTCATTGATCACACCATGACGAGATGTATAGAGTATGATCATTTCATTAACTGATATCATTTTATAACTTCTGACATTCATTGATAAAAAAATCAAATGTATTTTAAATTATTATTATACAATAAATCGATGGTATACAAACTCAAATTTGTATGAGATATATGATTGATATTGAAATTCATGAATTCGATCTCAACCGAAATTGTAAATATTCTTATAAAATATTCAAATATATATTTGATATTTATATTCGTATCCGAGATACAATTTAGTTAGCAAGTTCATCTCTATATCCAATGATCTCTGCTTGACCATGCTTGTTGTGTAGAACGACAAAGAACATGTTTCAAAACATTTAATCATTTAAAAAAAAAATTATGTCGGCAACGGTCGAATGCTCCCTGAAATGAAGCAGTTAATAGTATTTTGTTTTCTTAATTTCAGAACACATTCTTGAGTAAATGCTCTTCACTGATTCTATAAAATGAATTATATAGAAAAAGTGGATATCAACTTATCTTTTGTATTCATCTCGAAACTGCTTTGATTTCATTTCCGTCATCTTAAAACACATACTTTTTTTTGAGTATTTATTTATGCCTTTTTGATTTTTCTTCGATTCAAAATTAAAATTCAATTTACAAACATAATATGTTGTATACAAAATTAATTTGGTGATTTAAATAAGAAGCAAAACAAACTACTTAAATTAAATAGATAAGCAGAGATGAAAAAGATTAGTTTTCATCTAATCAACTATTTTAAGCGTGTTTATTTAAATGTAAATTTAACAAGTAGATAATTCTAATTTCCGTTTCATTTTAATCTTTATGAAACAATAACTAAATTTTAAATATTGCAAACGCTAAAAATTGAAATTCTTATGTTAAAAATATTAAGATAAATACATCATTGATTTCTCTCAATTTAAAGAAAAAAAAACGAGATTCTAAATTAGGAAAAATAATGTTTTTTTTTTTACGGGAATATTCAGTGAAAAGAAGATTTTGAAATCATTTAATTATTGCTTGAAGATAGGACACGGATATGTTGTCGAACGATTCCTGACTTTTAATGAATGAACTCATCAGAAAATATTTCCGTTCTTTTTAAACTGACTTCCTCTTCTTTTGTTTCGCAAGAACATAAATTCTTACAGTTTTGTTGATATTGCTATCAGCTTCAACTCATCTTTCTATTCTCTTTCTTCATCATCTTACGTTTCTATGATACTTTCTGGCGCTCCTTTCTCTTTCTCGTTTTCTCTCTCCTATATAAGCATGTGTTCAATGTGAAGTTATTAGATTCTGGAATTCATTCAATAAACACCATTATTGATAGTGACGGTAAGCTACTTATCCAATATATTGCTATAATAAGCCTATTATATTTTTCAAAAATGAATTTTTAATACATAAGAAATTATTAGATAGTTTGCAAAACGATAGAGAGCATGTTCTTGACTTTCTAAGAATGATATTAAATTGTCATGCATAGCTTTGAAGAATTTATTATTAGGTATTTTTCTAGAGAACATCAAGAAAAACTTAACCTACTTCGGACAGAATTCTATCATGACCGTTCCGAAAAAAAAACAAACAACAATAGAAGAATCATTCAAATAATATTTCGGATGGTTCAGATAGTATTCTTTTCATAAGAAGAATAATTATGAACTGTCCCTGAAGGTATAGCATTGAAATGAATGGTTTCCTACAGATGTATAATGTATTTTTATCGACATAGACCGTATTCATCAAACATTATTCGATGCGATAATTGTATACAACATAGTTTTACGAATCTTTTTGTCAATGCGTTCACTTGCGTTTTTCTTCATATACATTTTTAATTGGTATGATATATGAACAATTAGTTATGTGATGAAAGTGTTTTGCATGTAGCTGATATAATGGAAATAATAGATGCATTTACATTCTAATGTATTGTTTCGAAGATAATGCATTGTAATGTATTATTAAAATAATGCATTAAAACATATTAAATAGGTTGTATTATAATATAAATGCATCCATTATTTCCTTTATATCCGCTACATGGGTGTGGGTGTATATAGATTCTTTTTCTACCTGTACCCTATGTCATTCTGAGTGTTCTTTCTAATGAAATACTGCTATATTTAATTAGATTAAGATTTGATTTCTTGTGTAAAAGTCGACTATGAGTTTACATTACACGCAAAATATGTCATTTATCTCTTAGTTTTCATAGGAAATACTGAAGTAAAAAATATCTTAAATTTTTGTCATTCATTTTAAGTTATGTTAGAAAGAAGAGAAAGTGATGATTGTTGCTCTCTCTCGCTATCGTCTTTCTATTAAAATCTATTTTATTAAATAATTTCTGTGGATTGATTTTTCTTCTTCGTGACAATTTGTTCGATTGATATACTTCAGTAATTATAAATGTATGACTAAAAAAAAGATTCCATTTCATGTTGTATTAACCAGCATAAAATATTCTAATAATAGTATAAGTCGGCTTAAAAGAGAGAAGCTTGCATCAAAAGTTCGCTCGAATAATTCTCATTCAAAAGATGAAGAATGGCAAGCGTACTTATTTTTTCTTAGTCATTTTCATTTCATTATCGTTTTTCATTTGATTACTTCGAATCAGCAGTGTCCACATTGTAAGATAAACCTGCTCTGTAGCAACATAGGACTTATATAAGATCTTCATCCTGCCATGTAAAATAATATGACAGACAGGGCAGAAAAACGTTTTTTCTCCCCTAGATATTGTCAAGGACCGCTGTTTTTTTTTCTAAAACAAATATTATGATTCAGGTATGAATAGTTCAACCGTAAATCCCCTACGTTTGCAGTTAGGGTGTGCGATGCAGGCGTACATCTCCATTTTATCTACACCCACACCAATTCCTCCTCACCCCGCTCTTATATCTCATATCCAGACCGAGTTTCAACCATATCGGCATCCACACCCGAGACTTAATCTGGATAAGTGACAAATCTTAAATTTTCATGTTTTATACTGGCTTCATCGTCGTGTACTTTTGAAACTCGAATTATTCGCTTGAATTCTCCTTACTCTCTGTTTTCTAATTCAATAGCATCCATGAACTCTATCTCTCGTCTTTCCTTAGTATGTATAACTTCAATCCATTTCACTTCGTGGTGTGTCTTAATCATGAAACACTCGTTATCATCATTCGTCCTTCTCTATTCACTTTTTACTCCTCTCTATGATTTATTATTACCTACATGTTGATATCGAGTGACTCTGAATAATCGAAACACTTTTTTTCAATATAGAGAAAAGATAAAATTCTAATTTTTTAAAAGATACATTGTTGAATTCTTTGAAAATTTCAAAGAAACAAACTCGTTTGTTTTCTTCTGAAAAATCATTCTAAGACTCAAAATGATACTTAGAGCTGACCAAAAGTTCTACTAACATTCAGATACTCTTCATAATGAACGAAATGGAGAGAGAAGATTAAACACTTAAGATAAAATTCGAAATGAGCAGAGACAACGAGAGAGAACGAAACTGCTTCTCATTTTAATCTACGCTGCAGTTCTAAGGATACTTGTACATGAGTTTTATATTTTAGTCCTATTGGACTGCACCAAAAAGTTTTTTTTTCAGCAGTTATCGATCTCCTACCAATCATTTGTTACTTTCAGTATGTTTTGCGCTAGTCGTCGTTTTTTTCTTTGGTTTTCCTACTTGTAGTACTTCTAATCGGGCACCAACCACTGAACACTACTTCCGAAAGTCGCCTCAATTTTAGAAATAGCAATTCCTAGTATTGTTTAGTCTCTGTACAACCATATTTCGATGAAGATGGCTCATCTTCAGTATTCTGTAAGCTGACTCATCAGCTTATGCTAGAATCCTGTTGTTTATTCAGATCGATATCGATTCTGACATCAGTATCATTGTTATACAATGGTGATCAACTGAATTCTTTATGATTTAAGACATTTCCCTAGTCCATGTATTGACTATACAGTACTGGTTTAATACTGGTATAAAGTAATGTCGCCTGTACTGACCAAAACTACGTCAGTATTCCTGTACTGCACAATCAGTACATGGGCTAGAGTTTAGAAATGATGGAACACTCTTCCACTCAGGACGAAACTAGGAATATAACACATCGAATATTGTAGTTATCATTCTGTAGATAGTCCAAAAAACGAAATCTCATTGTATTCAATGTTAAGAAATGATAAATCCAAGTCTCATTCATCATACGATCTTTTCTTTGGTTACTCTGATCGTTAGTATTGTACAGACATTCTTCTAGCTTGAAAAAAGTAGTAATCGATTGATAAAAGTTTCATGCCATAAAGGACTTAATCGATGGGCTCTAGATTACATCTGGATTATGAAGAGACGAGAAGCTCCAGTTCTAAACCTCCATTGTTCTTAGATCATTCGAAGGCTATAAAACAACCCTTCAGACATCGTGTTTATTAACAAGAAAAAAAAATACAATGAACTATTGTTCAAGTTTTTTGCACATATACGTGATGAAAACAATTAATGCGTTGGAATACATTATGCCAATCAAACATAGACGTTGAGAAACCGAGCTGGTATAAAGGTATTTCACATCTTAGTTAATAGAAGATGACATCTTTAAGTAAGAAAGGTTTTTGGTGATCCATGGTTTTGCGCATATCGTGTCGCTTACTGACGAGAATCAGTGCCTATTAGGAGGCGTAGGAGATCAGAAGAAACTGTAGAAGATGCACGGATATTAACTTATTCTCATTGTGTATTGTAGAGAGTTTCATAAAATGCCATCAGTTCAAGTTGATCCTCTCGAAAGAAGTCACGCTCACGCGGTACAAGAAAACCATCGAGCAGCGAACGGTTTTAACCAACCACCATCACTACCAGTTCGTTTGATTTGTGAAGCGATTGGTACATGCTGTTTTGTCCTTTTCGGCGCTGGTTGTGCAACAAAATCAGGAGCTGATCTATTAGCGGTCTCTACTGCTCATGGCATTGTCACAGTCTGGCTTGTGTACGTATTTGGATCGGTCTCCGGTGCTCATTTCAATGCTGCAGCTACTATTGCGTTTACAATAAATCGTCAAATGAAAATACTTGATGCATTATTATATATTGTTGCTCAAGCAGTTGGTGCTCTTCTTGCTGGAGCACTATTGCTATTACTGTACTATGGCAACGATAGCAAATTAGGCACACCAGAATTGGCATTACTACCCTATCCAGTTACGGTTCTACAAGGCTTTTTCTTAGAATTCATCTGTACGGTCGTTCTCTCGTTTGTCATCTTCTTTACAACATCGTACAACATGCACAAAGAAGCAGCTCTTCCAATTGGACTGGTCGTTTTCTCTTCGTTTTTGCTTGCTTCCGATCGAGATGGAGCAGCTCTTAATCCTTGGAGATGGTTGGGACCAGCAGTTGCTTCGAATACGTATAGCACCTATGCCTGGATCTATTCTGTGGGACCTATCAGTGGGTTCATCGTTGGATTAGCACTTTTCAGAGTCTACAAACTTATTTGGAATCAGTAATCGGAAGACAATCTAAATTCTTAAAATACGACAAGATTTTTTCTTACCTTAAAGATGGAAAAAAAATTGTTCTTGAAAAAAGAGCTATCTATAAGACTTTCTACTTGACAAAAGACTACATCTTATATGCTGTTTCGTTTTGACTATTGTATCGTCGTACGTCTGTAATTATTTTGAATAAAAAAAAAACAATTCATCGAGCAGTCGAATTTTGCTCGTAAGGAAAATTAATTTAAATAATTCTTGAAAATAACAATAGTAGAGGACGAGCTGTGGATGTGGGTCGATATTAATCTTCTCTTCACCCATACGCCATACTCATGCTGCATAAGCGAACGATGTCATCTTAGAGAAAATGAGACAGAGATGTTTTTTCATATTCTGACGTAACCTTTGATAGAGGAAAGAAAGAGCTTTTATTTTTTATAATAGTCAAATAAAAGGAACTGAGGAAAGAAAAGAAATTTGGGAGATAAAAACAACATTGCATGGCTCTATTGGAAATCGAGTTTTAAGTCAGCAGTGTGCAATCGAAATGATGTCTAAAGGTCTCAGTTGAATAGCAATCAACTTCTCGCGTTCAATCATTAAGATATGGACGATGTATGAGAATGAACACGATCTGTTCTAGAAAATTTTCACGAAAAACTGAGTAATTCATGCGAAATATCTGCATACTATGGCGCGTACTGAAACAAGCAGTACAGGTATTGAATAAATAACTATCTGGTGCAGCTCTGCTTGGCAGCTTGCAACACAAATGCATGGCCAATTCCTTCGAGAACTATCTCAAGAAACTGATCTGAAGATTCACTTTTCAGTAATATCACTGATTAACAGTAATATTTTGCTCTATTTTCATTTTTTGTTTAATGAAATTCAGAAATACGCTTTAGCTTTATTTTGTCTGCATATATTGAAATATAAAATTGAAGCGAAACTGCACAAATACTTTCTATGTGCTATAATCAGGGTCGAATGTGATTGTGACACCCATGCGTTTTGGTGTGACTGCATCTCCTTCATCGCCGGCATATTCACCGGAATTGACTTCCGGTCCACCATCACCGAATGTCACACGTTGCATCAGTCGAGCACAAATAGCCTTCACTTCAAATCGAGCCAAATCTTGACCAATACATTGACGATGACCACCACCAAATGAAATCGATGCTGCTTTGTTATTATTGGCATCGTTACCTTCCACTAAAAATCGTTCAGGATAAAACTGGTCAGGATCAACTGGTCCTGACCAATAACGTCTATCCCGTCCCATGTTATGTATGCCAATGAGCACAAGATCGCCTTTTCTCAATTCAGCTCCAGTTGATGGCAATCGATCATCGACAGTAAGTGTACGTAACGTGCCGAAACCAGGTGGAACAAAGCGAAACATTTCACGAAGAACACAATCCAAATAGGTGAAGGAATCGAGTTGTTCGACGGAGAGTGATTGCATATTATACTGAGCCAATTCTTTCTTGACTTTGTTCTGCACTTCAGGATGTATGCTCATTAAATGAATGAACCAGGTCAGTGCAGCTGTTGTTGTCGAATAACCTGCTATGAGAAATGACAGCATTTCATCCAGTACTTCAGCACGGGAAAGTCCTAGAAATTCAAGAGAAAATCAGTAGAAAAGCGTTTTTTAACAAGAGGTGTGGATGTGGGTATGGAAGAAGAAAACATCAATATTCACACCCATACACCACCCTGCAAGGATTTCTCAGTTTATCTTTGACATAAAACTTAGAAAGATATAAGAACTTGTACTTAAAGACAAATATTTGTGCTTGTATTAGCAAGTATAAGCACTGAACTTTTACTTGTCGTGCTTTTACTCCTCCTATCTATGATTTTTACAAAAAGAAGATTTCTGAACGATGTACTAGACTCACCTTTTTTGTCTTCTTCAGTCTTTGATGCTTCAAGTTTTTCATCTTGTTGTAATGAAGCGATTAATGATGCAATCAAACTTAGTTTCTTACGTTCAGCTCTCATCATTGGTGTCTCTTGCAACTCTTGTTCAATCATACGATATAAGTGCTGATTAACAAGGTCACGTGATCGTCGATATTTGAGATTAAGTAACAAGTATAGACGACCGATGAATGTTGGCATTTTTATTACTGTTATAATCGTGTTCAAAACCGTATATATTGCATGAGCAAATTCATTCCTATTCCTATCTCCTTGATTATCCATTGTTTGGAGAGAATAATCAAAGAAAATAAGACTAAATGTCTCAAGAACTAACTGTTGCAGTTGTTCAAACATATTTAAATGAATATAATTTGGATCGTCGTTGTTCGTTCGCCAACGAGTCAACAATTTATCTGTACAATTTATTATTGTATCCAAATGGTTGACAATTTTACCACGACGAAATAATGGATGGGTAATAGTTGTGTGACGCTTATATTTGGATCCTAAATAGAATAATTTTTGTATGTCATGACTTCAAGCAGATGACCACTTTGTGTCTAACCTGTGAGACAAAAGATTGAATTCGGCACGATAGACTTCATTTTTTCATCAAATACGTCTGCTTGCTCGTATATATGTCGATGGGAAAAAATATGTTGTACATCTTCGAGACAACTCACAACAACCATACGAGCTGGACCAAACCAAAATTGAAAGACATCACCGAATTTATCTCGAAACTGTCGTAGTACATTAGGCAGTGGTTCGCCTCGCCAGATGACACCAGTTTGTAATAAATTGCCAAAGAGAAATTGTGGTGCCATACCAGGTAATGATCCATGTAAGGTGAAGTAGACACTTTTGAGATAAACATACACGATTATTAGAAATAGCAGAACAAAAATGATCGTCAGTAATAACATATTTCTTCTGTTGTTGTTGTTGTTGTTACTTTATAAAGCGCGCATGTGTTTGAAATCAAACGTAAATATTTGAGATGATAAGATCATATGAGATTGTTTTTTATCGTTTCTCTTTCTTGTGTCTATATCAGTGACTACATAAGAATGACTCATTCATGTATTAGGTGAGAAAAAAAATCGGTTTCTGCTTTCGTTAGCATCTGATAAACGTTTACAGTGCCAACTAAATGTTTTTCACTCCGAGATCTGAGCAGTAACACATTTCTATAACTCAGTCTTGCTGGACAATAGGTATACATTTTATCTCAAGAATTTCACGACAGAAATTAGAATGATTTCGATGTACTACTTTTACTATTTTCTCAATCAAATAAAAGCATTTCGAAATTATACAATATAGTTTATAGCATTCATCACTCTTGCACTGTATAGAAATATAGTGAATATTTTTTCATTCATACGAGAGCATGGGTATGGGCGGGTGTAGGTCTCTCCGTTCTTTTTAACCAGACCCACACTCCGCTTTCTCTGAAAATCAATCTACAGCTGTGTCCACCTATGATAATAAAAGTTTTTTTTGTTTTTCGATTCGATGTCAATGTATTTTCTATAGTAATCTATACAAGTTGACCATTTTGCATCGATATCCGAGGTTAGAATTTTGTCACATAGTACACTTAAGATGTTATCTCATCAAATCGATAGACAGAGGCCTCCACATATGACAATAGAAAACTTTTTTTATTTATATTCATACCGTTGTTGAGTTGAAGATACAATATTTTGTACAAGTCGATCATGCTGTATTGATGTTTGAAATCGAACTTTCGGTACATAGTTGACGTAGCAAGTTCGGTATTATTGGAATCGATACATAGAGATCTCCATACACGGTGATTGGAAAGCTTTTCTATTCGCACTGTCGATAGATTCAATATTCAATAGTTTATGTAGAACTTAGCCATTCTAAATCAATATCTGAAGTGAGCATTTTTTTCCATGTCATGCAGTTAAGATGTTAGATCCTGAAATCGCTATCTTGTGATCCCTACCTAATAGAAGAGAAAGTTTTTTTTTCTTATTTCCCTATTTGCATCGTGTTGAGGTTTAAAACATAATTTTCTACATTCAGAAAATCAAACAATCGAAATATAATGAAACTTAGAAATTTTTAAAGCGATTTTTCAAATATTTTGCCTACAATTCTGTCAAATTTTGTCGTACAAAAGACGAAAGCGGATGAGCAATGATCTCGGTTCATTACGAAACTGAATAAAAGTCACTTATACAGAATTAGTGTCAAATTCTGAGCATTGTAGACGTCTTACTTTTTGAAGAATCTCAATTTCATTTTTTTTTACAGAAAATTCAAGGGCATCGGTAGACCATCGGAACAGTGAAAAAACTATTTTGCTTGAATTCCATTAAAATACACTTTCTAAACTAAAATTTGATGCTAATTACGAATATGAGGTCCAAATCTTAGAAAAGCTTAGCTTTGGATGAAAAAACGCGCGTAAAAGCTGAAGGACGAACAGAAAAAAATATTTCCTTTTTATGAGAGATTTTGAACGAAACGGTAAGGTTCTACAATGCCGAAAATGAAAATCAACCCAACAGTGGAACATCATAACGGATGATTAGGCGATTCAATATTGTAAGCAACACAATTGTGAGCAGTGCTTTAACGTCATCTCTATGAAACATTTCGAATAATTTTTCCAAAAGTTCGAAGGAGAATGAAAATAAATAGTGATGTTGACGATAACTAGCGCCTTTCTTTGATTATATTGGTTTCATCTAGTTTCTTTTTTTTGGAATGAGCACTAATGGATGAATTCAAACTCGGACTTGCAGAGAAGAATAAGCGAAAGAGAATTGTCATTCGATATATTCATTAATTGATTTCAAGGTGCACTAGTATGAATAAAGGAGGAAGAATTTGTTTCAATTATATAGAAGAGCAATGTCAGATTGAGATAAAAGCGCAATTCTTTATTATATAATGCGTCGTTTACTATTGAACAACAGGCGTATTCATCAAATTTAGCCGATATAACTTTCAATTGTTCGAGAAGTTGATCAAACATCTTCAATTCATCGATTACATAAAGCAGGTTCTGTTTGATAACATTGATCACATTCTTGCTTATAGTACTCTATGAATCCAGCGAAAAAAAGGAATCCAATGTCGTCTTTTCATCCCTACAGACTTCTATCGTGTCTTCCAGAGTCAAGTCGGTGACATCTTTTTCATAAACGAAAATTCGGCGAATGGACTCATGGTCGAAAAAACTGTTTCAATTGCTCAATAGAGCCTGCTAAACAAACCAAAATATTGTGATAACGTTTATGCATTTCATGTATTTGGTCGATCGTCTTGCAGATAACTACGTTCGGAAGTTCATTGAGATGTACAAAAACGATTTTTAAGATTTTTTTTTATTGAAATGCGCGTTATATGTTTTTGTTCATCTGTCACAAATTTGACTGGGTAAAATTAAACAGAATGAGTAGCCGTATGTGAAAACCTGGCATTAACTAATGGAAATATGTCTCTTATTGAGTAATCGTGGTTGAAAAAAAAATGTCAATTCCATCCTATTTTACGTCATGCACATTTACGATTGCAAGAACAAAAAAAAAGAATGCTAGAAAGAAAGAGAATTCGAGCCGAATCTATTATTCATAACATAATTATATATCGAAAATGTACTGAATCAGCCATACACACGTTCAGTTATATAGTTTTTATCTTGTTTATTATTGATTATTACTATCAAGAAAAAAAAGTGACTATGATGAATCGCAAATAAGTTTATGATTAATCTGTTGTAGTACATCCACTTCGTTGATAGCCTGTTGAAATTGTCCATTTCGTATACATTTCTTCAATTCGTCTAAATGAATAGTGAATTGTTGCTGGTATACTGATTGATTAGTTTCAGTAGAAAGATTAATCGATTTTGTTTGATCATTGTGATATTCAGAAGCCATACTAACCAATATTATTAGTATTACTTGACCTTCTTCAAACAGAGAATGAAAGATGTAAAGTGATTTGCTTCGATCATGACTGGTATATATATATATATGTAAAATAAATAGTTACTCATATCGCCTATCATAAAACTTGTCTTGCATAAAAATTTTTATTCGACTATGAGTAATAATCAAAGAAAAGTATGATAATTATTCAATTTATGTTTGTATATGATGATTCAGAAGCAGTAGGAAACTTGAAACACAAAATGAATGTATTTCGAGATATTTCTTCAATTGTCTTATGAAACTTTTTATACAAATTTGGCAATCTTCAGAACGAACGACAATTATTAATACTATATATAAGATTGAATTGCATCTATGTTTCGAAAAATGTATCTTTAGATTTCACAACGAAAAATAATCATGTCAAACAGATTTGTACAAATTAATCGTCTTTCGAAATAACTAGAAGATCCATCATTGATTTTAGATTATATTTCGCAAATCTCTATTATATCATTTATCGATTTATCTTATGCAATGAATGCATTCCCTTCGTTGAGAAAGAAGATTTGATATTAGAATGGCTTTCAGTATAAGGGTGGGTGTGGGTATAGATCATTCTTTTACTCACACCCACACCCTCAAGACGAAGATACGATAGTTTTTCTTCCATTATGAGAAATATAAGCGAAAGAGTTAGAATACCTATTCAAATGATTCTTCAAGTGCATTGAATGACAAAATATAAGTGTGTGCAAACTATTGAAAAAAATTCGTATTGATTCATTGCATTTCAATAACTTTCTTTTTATTTGCAATTCATCTGTGAAATTATTTTTTGCTCGAAGGACGTATAATTATTCTATTGAATAGAATGTATATGAAAATCAATGACCAAATAATGCACAGAGCTTGGTTATGATTCATAGATCATAGTTCGATGATTCAAATCTTTGAGTCTCTAGTATCTCTTCGAAATTTGGATAAAACCATGAAAGAAAAATCTCAGATGTTTATAGCATGTGTATCTCAAGGCAAAAACGAAATTCTTCATGACAATCGAAAGTGATATGTGTGATTTGTTAAAATAAGAAAATCGACTGTGCAAGCGATTAATGAAGTGTTCTTTTAAATATCAAGCGAGTGAATATTAAGACTCCAAAATAGTGAAGTGAGAAAATACTTATGCTTCAATTCAAAAATTGATATCGAGAAGTCATAAGGGACCCAACCAGTTGGTAAAGACAAGTAAGGTAGATCATTTTTTGGTAAGGAGAATGTGAATCCTTTTTTCAACTATTTTGATTTTCTTGCTCGAAATCGATACAAAAAGGTGAGTAACGAAAAGTATGGGTGTGGTTGACATTGAGGAGAAGACCTACACTTGCACTCCATTTCGGTCGAAGGAATCTGTGAATCTCATTCTCACTTTTTTCTATCTGTGTATAGTTGCTATTCTTCATTCGTGTTAATTTATTTTTGGTAATTTTGAACCTATCAAATTAAAATACATTTTAGTATTTTTCTAAATTCAAGTTCGATGAAAGACAGAGAAATAGGTAAAGAAAGAAATAGAAATAATAATTATTATAATGTAAAAGTATTTTGTAAATAAAAGTCAAAAGAATAAATACATTGAAAAAGTAGAAAAGATAACAATTTGTTTTTTTAGAGATTCTTTCTGAAATATTCACTTCTTGTTTGAGATCTTGTTTGTGTTGATAATTGTTGGCACATTACTAGGAAAACTAACACGATCTGGACCAGTTACACAAATCGAGAATTCTCCCATCACAAGTGGACTGTACGTCGTGACAACCAAAATGTATGTATTATTAGCCTGGAAATTATCTGTGAATTGAAACTGATGATTGCCACCACTATCATCATTTTGTGCAAGTAAATACCCAGACGGATTGGATGGCTCAAAATTGTTCTGATAGAGACAGCCATAAAGATCGATATTGCTACTACTGATGAAAGTGTAACAGCCTGTAGTAGGCATGGTCACCTGAATTGTCTTGTAGTAGTAGTAGTAGTTTGATACTGGACTGTTTGGACGATTATACGTTGAACTATTGTTTGTTAATGCATTTAAATAGCATGAAATAATAGCAGACGAAGAACATGTTGATGCTACAAATATTGAAGGAAAAAGTAAATAGAAAACATTGAACTGATCTGACAAAAAAAAAACAAGTCCAAAATGCATTTTCTACAATCGAACGCAAGTCAGATAATATTTTTTGATCGAATTTTCATTTTTTTTTGTTTTTATTAACTTCAAATAGCAGTAATTTGTCAGGACAAAGTTGAATTGTTCGAATATCAAAATATTTGAAGAGTTTTCAATATCTTGTCAAACTAGAACAATAGCCCTCATGGTTCACATTAACATAGGATCAATTTCAAACACAATGCTAGCTAGTCCATGACGTATTCTAATAACAAGTGAGACATTATTTTAGAGAATGAAGAAAATGATGATCAAAATGTTGATAGATCTATTATTTGTTATTGACAAAATTTTAGCATTAATCTATTTAGACAAAGACCTGCTTTGTCCTTGTCTCATTTATTCCACTATCTTAGACAAAATCAAGCAGATATTCATGATCAACACCAAATTCTAATCCTTATAAGAAAATAAGTTTTCGGACTTGCTTAAGTCAACATGCATTCTGCATAGATGATATTTTTTCATCTTAATAACATGCATGACATTTCATTCTATTCAAAATTCGATATTGATCATGAATATCGCCTTGATTTACGCTGAAAATTCGAGGTAGTAGAGAGATAAATCTCCATTAAGAATATATCGATGTCAAAATAATCGAAACAACAAATAGATTGTCAAAAATTCTGCTCGAGCTATTCTCATCAAATTTTTATAATATTCTTGGCACTCGGAGAGAGGATCAATTATAAACTTTGAAAATATTATTTGGCATAGAAGCTTATGGAAACTCATGCCATAAATAGTGGTCAAATCGGTTAGAACGCTGTTCTACTCACCCGTCGTTGTGGTTGTTATCGCGGTGGTCACGGACTGGAAAGCAACACTAGTTGGACCGGATACATTAACCGAGAACGCTCCCATCACAAGTGGACTGTACGTCGTGACAACCAAAATGTATATAGCATTAGCTTCGAGATAAATACTGAATTGAAACTGATTATAGCCACCGGTATCATCATCTCGTGTACGTACATTCAAAGACGAATTGGATGGATCGAAATAGTTCTGGTAGAGATAACCATAAAGATCGATATTACTCTGACTCTTGAAAGTGTAAACGCCCGATGTATATATGAACACCCGAATTGCCTCGTAGTAGGTTGAATTTGATGAAGCGCCGGAACGAGTATACGTTGGACTATTGATAGTCAATTGCGATGTATAATACGAATAATATACTTGTGAAATGACTATTCAAAACAAAAAGATGAACTGTCAAGATCTGTAACATTGACAGATCGATAGAATTGATTTCTGATGTTCTCCATGCTTAAGCTTCTCTAACCATCTCAGAAATCGATATGGATTTCTTACGGACCGATCAAACTCAAAATTTTTTGTAGATAATAGCCATGATTAGAAAGGATTATCATCAAAGTTTCATACGATCAAAAAAGAAGAAAATTCGGGAGTAGTAGCTCTCAATACCATTTAAAGTGACATACATATATAGAATAGTTTATTTTGTAAACTTACAAAATAACTTTCTCTTTATTGTTTGTCTCCATTGATATTTTAATATTCACAAGCTTCTCTTTTTTCTAAGACCAGTATCATATGGCTATTACCATATAAATTCATAAAAATTACTTTTTGAAATGTCAAACAGTAGTGAAAATCAAACGTCTTACTTACTTGTCGTGTCCGTTGGTGCACTAGCGCTGAATTGGACAAAGCCAATAATGATCATCACGAGTGCACTGCAAATAAATTGCATGGATTTCATTGTATCGTCGGTAATCAACAAAGATCAAAAGTAAAAATGTGTGTAGTTCTTGATGGTTACTCTCTCGGTATTTATAGATATATGTGTTTGATACAAATTGCGCACGTACTTTATCGAACCTGATTATTCATCTAGCCAAAATAAGGAACTGTGCACAATTTACTTTTTTTTGTGAATAATCGAGTGTGTTTCAGATCTATTTTTAAACTCTATGATATTCTATTTGAATCGATTGAATTGTATGACATACATATCAAAAATCATCATATATATTACAATTTGCGCAGTATATTCATTCAGGTATTCACTTAAACAATCATAAAGACCAAAAAAAAAACAGTTTTTTTTTGCCTTTATGTTTATTTTTGACACCTGAATGAATATACTGCGTAAATTCCAATACGTACGATGGTTTTTAATATGTATGTCGTGCAATTCAATCGATTCAAATAGAATATCATAGAGTTTAAAAATAGATCTGAAAAACTCTCAATTATTCAAAATCCCAATTTTCCGCAACTCCTTTTTTTCAAGCTAGTTGAATAGTCAGGCACGACAGAACATGCACAGTCGACAAAAAAGGTACACACTAATAAATAGAGAGAGAGAGAGAGCAACCATCGAGAATCAAACATATTTTACTATGCACCTTTGATGACAACAGCGTTACGGTGAAGGTAATGCAATGTAAGTAAGGTGCCACTAATTGAAAATTTGAATAGATGTTGTTTTAGTTATTTATACATGACTGAATAGAGAACATCGAACTGGTCAAGAATAGATGACTTTTAATTTTTTTAAGATGTTATCTTGCAGTCAAAAATGGACATTTTTTTTTTCGAAGGATCTGCAACTATTATATGATATTATTTCATGATAGATTGACGAAGAAAATGAAAATATTTTGCTGTTTAAAATATAGATTATAAAATTTATATGAAATATATTCAATAATATCATTATTGAAATTATGAAAATGTTTAGTTCAATTAATGAAATGATTGATAAACAAGATATGACTATGATTTATTTTATATGATTGAATAGATATTTGATCAACAAATATAATATTGAATATATTTTAAGAAAATTAGTAGAAAAATCTTCCAATTATAAAATCAATACAAAGATAATATAAATTATGATATATTTGATACATTCATTCGATTTTCATAATAGCTTAGAAAATGGATTAAATTCATTGAATAATACAGAATGAGTATTATAAAAACTTCAAATTTTGAGAATATTCTGTCAAATATTTCATTGGAGTAGAGATAAGAGACTTTTTACTAAAATAATCAATGCAATAAAATCGATAAGCTAGGTCAAATCTGATCATAAATGATCTCTTCGATATGAATTTCATTTTTTTTTAAAAAGATTTTATATAATTTAGTATGACGATCTTTATCACTATGATTTAGAACTATGGAATCATCAAGTTCATTTGAACTAATTTCTTTTTATACCTAAGATTCTGATAAAAAAAATCAATGCAACATTCAATTCTATTATGAATCAATTTTATAAAAGTTCATTTCGTACTGTATAATATCAAACGTTTATAAAGTATAGGGAGAGAAATTTGGACATCCTTCGTCGTGAACATATCTAAGGCATCATTACCGTAGTAGCGTAAACAAGTACGAGCTAGAATTGACTCAACCACTATCCTCTAGAAGGTTTTGAGTCTATTCTGGATACATCACCAGAGGATCTTCATCTCCTCTGCAGACATAGTCAAGTGTCGACTGAGGCCCTAAGCAATTTTTTTTTGTGATTACGCTATTACATCACAGACACCTTAGTAATCAGTGTTCTTCTTTTCCTCCATAGACTGTCGTCAACATAACAACGAAAATAAACTGCTGTTGGATTATTATGAAAAACGATTGAATTTAATATAAATGTCATGTGGATGTGAGGGTGAGTCTCGTTTAAGTGGATACGTGAATCCACACCCGTATAGGATACTACAACTTTTTTCGTTCGGCCCTTCTAAAAGCTGCATATTGAGATCAAGTATTCTGTTATAATGCATAAACATATTTAGGATTATGTAAAAAATTTCAGACCTCTAGACTTTGTACAACATCTTATTTTTCTATTTCTTTCAAAACATGAAAATTTATTACCACAAAAATATACAATGAATAGAGAATTTTGGGACAGAAATCATTGCTCATATGAAAATTTTATTCTTTTCTTTGATCGTTTAAAGAAATGTTTCATTTTCTTCTCTAAAGATAAAGATTTTTTCTAGTCCTTTTTATTTTTTGTTGTAAATGTAAAGATAAAATGATAGTTATAATTCTCATCTTTATTGTTTTTCCTAATTATTCATTATGTTTGTCTATATTTTTTGTTATTTAATTTTGTATCTAAATAAAATAGATGTCATAAAACTCAGACTTTAGAACGAGTAGTTATTTAATGAGTAGTTCACTAGGACAGAAACTATCCTTGACTCAATTTCGATACAGAAATTTGAAATCCATAGAGACAGGAAAATGGCATTATTCCATCTCATCTTTTCATGGGTATTTGATACAATATGTATTAGTTTTCAATTAGTACAAAACTCGATTTGTTTCCTAATAACTGATTTTGATGTGCGTAGATCTGACCAAGAGTTCTAAGAACATTAAATAGTAATGGAAAAATAATGAGATATTTTCAATTTTATTTTATCAAATACTGAGCATAGTTGCCATGATTATTTATGTTCGGGTCAATCCTTTCGACACAATTTATTAAAAGTTTTTTTGATCTCTTTTTCTAAAAAAATTTTAGCTACCTTGGATACCACATGAGCTAATTATATTTCGTTTGTTTTAAAAATTTAATGGAATTTTGTTCGATCATATCAGTTGCATTCTAGCATTACTAGTAATGTGATATCGATTTATTTTAGATAGGTTAGTCATAAGTCTTCTAATGCTAACTGGCTTATTGAAGATGAATTATCAAAGATTGTTGTTCATGAAAGCAGATTTTAACCAAAACTTTGTTTAGTATATTCTTTAAATCAAATAAACCTGAGCGTTGATAAAGTCAAGACTGTAGATCACAATTATTATATTGAAAATTGCCGGAAGCCATTTGTTAATGAAATATGGAAAAAAAAATGGACATTAGATTCAAAATGTACAAAATTGCTTGACGATCGTCATTTACTTCATAATCATCCAATGTCATTAATTCTATGACAGAAGAAGACATCAATATAATGTCATACCCAACATATTCGCCAGGCCTGATACTATATAATTTTTGGCTAACTAATTCTATCGAATGTAGTTTAAGTGATTAAATAAATGAAACATGATTAGCTCATATGATATCCAAGGTAGCTAAAATTTTTTTAGAAAAAGAGGTCAAAAAAGACTTTTAATAAATTGTACTAAAGGATTGACCCGGACATAAATAATCATGGCAACTATGCTAAGCATTTGATAAAATAAAATTGAAAATATCTCATTATTTTTCCATTACTATTTAATATTCTTAGAACTTTTAGTCAGACCTACGTATATAGTGAAATGTGCTTCGTTCTCAATTTGTACGATATACAAATATGTTTTTTTTTCTCTAAATTTAACATTTTGACCAAATTGAAAGTTTTATAATCTCATAAACGTTAAGCACAGTTTGAGAATATGCTTTGCACCATGAGCTTAGCTCATGTGTCGTCTAGTTTCAGTTGCTAATCATGTTGTTTATTCAGTAACTGTTGCATCTGAGTAGATATGTGTGAAATCAGTCCTAACCACTGGAACCGAAAAACTTGGACCCACACATGTATAGATTTGACCTACTTAAATTAATACGTATCATCAACAACCTAGACCGATTCCATTTATCATGTATCAAAATACTCGAGATCTGCACGAACATCCTCATGGAGAACGAATTCAATTTGAGCAATACTTTTTCTCTTTGTGCATAATTATCAGATAAATTAATCTTTCTATAATTAAAATGATTTTTCTGAGTCAGAAAAATAAAAACAAAAAAGTAGTTTAACATTATATTATGTATTATTTCCACATTTGTTTTAAACACTTCTTGTTTTTTTTTAATCTGTATTCGATTATTTTCATCAATCGAATCAACATATTTATTTTTCTTTAGATTAAGCAATCATTTATTTTCCAACATTAGGTAATGTAAGCAAACCAAGACCACTTAAAAATTGAAATAAGTCTTGATTCGCAACCAAATTTTCCATTGAATGACAATTGTCAGCAACCTAAAAATAAATATAAATATTAAGAAAAAAAAAATAACAGCTAATAAAATTTTTTTGTTTCAATCATACCAGTATATACTTATCACAACATTTCACTTCATGACTATTACATGCAGCCATATTAGGAACTTGAAATGTTTGTATATATGTATATATCTCTGGTCTAAAGGATAAAATAAAAATAACATCGTCGAATATCATTTATAAAATAAAAATATAAACAACAAACCGGAAATTTGTAACATAGTGACTGCATTTCATCATACCCATAAAACCACAATCCACATAGCCAACCTATATAAAATTTAATCTATTTAATTATTAAAATCTTTTCTGATAATACTTTTGTCTTTGTAGCTACAGTATGTGTAGCATGCTCAACTTTTGTTTGTGTTACGGTTGTAACTGGCTGTTCGTTAATACAACACCAATGTCTTTAAGAAAAAAAAAGAACCAAATTTCAGAAAGAAAAAAACAAAAACTTTTTAATAACTTACGAAGCAACATTAGCAGTACGTCCTGAATTACTAGTTAATGATAATCGAACTGATTGTGGTAAATCAGCCCATTTAACTTTAGCTAAATATTCACGAGCCTTATCATTGAGCTAATAGAAAATAAATTAAGATTTAATTGAATTAATTATATAACTAACTTCGAATCGAACGGCATTGACTGATATTAAAGCGAAGATACATAGGCAGACAACCGATTTCAACATGGCTATATTCTTGTAAAATCACAAAAATGATGGTCGTTTTATTTTGATTTTTTTTATATAGAATATTCGCCTACCTTTTTCTCATCCGATATTATATCATGTAAAACATCTGTTTTTTATTCTCATAATATTATTTTTTTTTCAAACAGAAGCTTTTAAATCAATGAATAGAATAAATATGTTTTTTTTCTTTTATTGAAATTATATTCATCACAATAATAAAAAAAAATCAACTATAACGTATTCTATATGTTATTAAATGGATTGACTTTAATAATACAAAGCAAAGAAGAAGAAAAAAACAAGCGAATTTTATACAGAAATAGATTCACTCTCAGCACTATTTCGAAAAGAATGAAAGCAAATCTCCTTGTATTGCTCTATTCTATCGAACATGATTGATAATAAAGAAGAGCACGAAAAGTTTACTCGAATAACTGTTAAACAATTCGAACGATTTATTATATATTTTCGAAAAAAATTAATGAGTATAAGTTTTAAGTTCAAGTTTTTGCGGCTCTCCCCTCCCCTTACAGACCTTAGCAATTAAGAATAACAGGCGTCAGACTTTCTAGTTTTTTTTTTGAAAAATTGATCAAATTATAATTTTGAAATATAATCAACATTATTGTTTGTGAGTTGATTAATATATATATAATAGTGCATAAGATCTTCTGTAGATATCATGGATATGTCAAATAGATTTATTTGCCAATTAATTCAAAATAATAAGAATATTGAATTACGAAAAACGAATTAAAAAAAAAAGAAAGATAATGAGCGAATAGCAACAACGCAAAAGAAAAATAGGACGTTTTTAAACAAAAAAAAATAATTTTTGTTTTAAATGTAGAAATAAATAACAAAGTGTCGCTCTTATCATTGATTATCAATGCAAACAACTACAAGGTACACGAAATTTTTCAGTTTACATATAATGCATTAGAATATTAAGGTTTAAGTATATATGTGAGTTCCATATTTCAGCTCCAAAGGAACTGTACTAACAAACTTTTTAAATAATATTATAATATATTCTTTAAAATTTCGTTCGATATATTTTTAGACAAATATTTGTACTTGTTAAGGCCACCCCCCTCAAAAATCGATCTCAGTCCAGGAACATTCAAATGACATGAAAATTTCAGAATATGTTGGGGCTGGTGAGACATGGCTATGGTCAAATTTTCAGCCTTATGGCACGATGTTTAACCGAGATATGCACCAAACAAGGAGCAAAAATAGCTCTTTACTAGGTGGGTAAAAATATTATTCCAGGGGGGTAATGCTATGATTGCGAATAGAAGACAATGAATTTTATATCAAATGAACGCTCGTCAAAAATGGGGTTTATTGATACTAAATAGTGAGGATTATAAAAATTTTGTAATATCG